CACCCCAGATGTTCTAAAAAAGGCGAGTGCTCGAAGACAACTTATTCCAAGCATCAGAAAGAGGCAATTAAAATTTGGTGGTGACGTTATGAGTAAAGAAAACCGGAACATGTAGTGACCACTGGACAGGTATGCGGAAAGAGAGACAGAAAGCGCCAGAAAATGTTTGAGTTTTTGCGTGTGTCCGGCATGGAGGGGTTGCAACAAACGAACTGATACATACAGTTGCAGATCACAGATTGTGGAGAGGCATGATCGCCCACAGTTTGGCAAGGCACTTGAGGATGATGATCACTATATTCTAAAGACGTATGGTTCATTTCTACAAGACTGGTAATCTTAGTTTCAGCATTATAGCAAACGGGTCACCCCATAGTTGCTCTGCTCCTGTACCAACGAAAGACAAACAGAATGTTTATCACAGTCCCTTGTGGAAAGATCGACAGACTGCTGTCTCAGCATATGCACTAGCATACATACGCATTAAAAGCATACGGTAGCCATCCAAAGTGCTAACACAAACAGTCCGACATCAGAAATGCAGTTCACCATGGAAGCATACGGTAGCCATCCAAAGTGCTAACACAAACAGTCCGACATCAGAAATGCAGTTCACCATGGATGGTAGCAGAAGTCACCAAAAGATCAGCAGTTGCACACGCAATCAATTTTAATCACATAATGGCACCACCAATATTGCGACAACAGGCATCGCACCATTTTCTGAATCTACAATTCACATCACCACGTTGGTCACAGTCGAAAAACATTCCAAATGAAATCTGCAGCTCACAGTGTCACACCATGCACTCAACTCAGAAGCTGGGTGACGAAACTATATCCTTTCAGTCTACAAATGGAGCAAAAATGCAACAGCCACCGTCTGGCAAAAGCAACAAATTTGCCGCGGCTCAAAACAGTGACCGTGCCTAGGGTCCATGAGGCTCTACAAGACTAAAATAATGCTTGCTGTAGGTTACAAAAACTAAACAAAATTAAGAGAGTTAATAGCTGGTGCAAATCAGTACTGTTTGGACCGAAAGCACGGAGAACTAAGGCAATTACTACAGTAATAAACTACACACATTCATTAACTGGTGCCTGCACTGAATGGGAATTAAATGGTATAATAGAATCACTAATGTAGAGCTTTGGGAGAGAACTAAACAAGTTGCAGTGGACCAAGAGGTGAAGAAAAGACGCTGGCCACACGCTGAGAAAACATGATTTGATTTGATTTAAGAACCGACATCACAGCACTCAGGGCATTTCCATAAGCGCTCCGCCCCCATCTTCAGCAGCCAGCGAAGAGTTCCGATACTAATGGTGCCAGTAGCATTCTGATTAAACGTCCGTCTTGCCTTTCCTCTGAGCCTCGAGCATCTGCCAGAACCTCTCGTCACTCCCCGCTGCATCAATCTCAGCAGACTGTGGTGATCCATCTGCTTCTTGTGCAGAGTCAGCCAGTCTGTCCGCCTGTTCATTTCCCAACACACAGGCGTTCGCCGGTGAAAAAAACCAGACAATACTCCTCACCCGTGTCCTCCGCAGAAAAGCATGCCACTCTGCACGAAGCATACCTGTTCTGATCTTCCTCAGCATGCTTTTTGAATCAGTTACAATCATGATGTGTGTGTGTGTCGTGTTCTCTAGCCAGTGGAAAGCTGCAGTGACCGCCTCCACCTCCATTCTTCAGCTGGAAGTTGTGGTATCATATGCCATATGATAGGCTCTCCCGCACCAAACGTCAACCATTAACTTTTGCTAAGAAGCCCCAAGCACTTCTTTTGCCTCTTGACACTGAACCGTCTGTGTAAATGATCAAATCCTCTGAGCGAGCATTATCTTGAATTAATTGCTGAATTTCCACCTCTGTGGCACCTGCTGGCCAGTCTCTGCATTGCTGGCTCAGCGTGATTATGACTCTACACAAGTCTGACTGTTCAGGTGACCCACTCTTCTCCTCGCCAACTGTTCTCAAGGATGCAAACATGTTTGATTGTGTCTTCTGCCTGAGCCATCCAAGACCTCCATCTTATCAGCTGCTGACCCTTAACTGCACCCTGAGAACAATATAACTAGAATGTCATTGCACTGGAAATGACGGAAGACCAAAAGAGACACACAGATGGCAGCTACAGAGTGAAGTTAAAAAGATGGGAAGGACATGGGGAGAGCTGAATCCGATAGCGAAGGATACTTTGGCTTGGCATGAGTTGGTTGAGTGCCTATGCTCCATTAGTGGTTAGAAAGGCAGAAGAAGAAGAAGCAATGAAGACCATCCTTAGGATGTTTAATTGTGCCCCCGACTAAAAAACTTAATCACCTTACCCGATGTTGTAACCACTCGGCCAGCCACTCCTCATACTAATGAACTAACAAAAAAAACAAAAAAATAATTCATATGATTTAACCGGAGGACACACAACAACAATTACGTAAGTCAACAATGTGGTTTATTCAAGTATGCAAACATTTTATATGATTTAAAAACAAAATCATTAAATATACAGGCTGTCCTCATAGTGTGCCAGTTCAATCAGATGGTTACTGGCACCACTGGAAATGGATCTCTGGGCTTTCTGCTGAAGATGGGGACAGAGCACTTATGGAAGTGGCTCCCCCCCCCCCCCCCCCCCACCCCCTTCCTGTCTGTCATGACACACTTGTTTTACCACAAACAAATCTTTACCGTCTCCTTCTGAGATAGATGACCTGCTGTTTTTTGTGTGAATGAATTTCTTGAAGTCATCTTCATAATTTCTTTTTCTTCAATTCTCTGGTGGCCTCTGAGGCGAATGGTCAAGCTTCTGCCTTAGGCCTTGAAGGTTGTAGGTTTGTTTTATAGGCTGTCTCCTTCAGTTCATGAGTGCAATTTTGAAGGAGATCCTTGGGAATCAGTGACTGAGCTAGGGAGTTCGTTCTTTGTGTGTGCAACCCTTTCAACAGGTAGCTAGCCTTTTCTACAGAGAGAGAGAGAGAGAGGGGAAAGAGAGAGGGGGAGAGAGAAGAGGGGGAGGGAGAGAGAGGGGAGAGAGAGGGAGAGAGAGAGAGTGAGAGAGAGGGGAGGGAGAGAGAGAGAGGGCGGAGAGAGAGTGAGAGAGAGGGGGGAGAGAGAGTGAGAGAGAGGGGGGAGAGAGAGAGAGAGAGAGAGGAAGAGAGAGGGAGGGAGGGGGGGAGAGAGAGAGAGAGAGAGAGAGAGAGAGAGAGAGAGAGAGAGAGAGAGAGAGAGAGAGAAAGAAAGAGAGACATGGGAAAAAACCTTGTGCAATGAAGTTGATACCCTGTTTTTGTTTCGTTTTTTAAATCTGCCCACTGTGTTCTGATCAATTTATAAAGTCTCATCTCCTATCTTGGTCTTCCTCTGGCTCCTTCCCTTCCAACTTTCATGTTCTCACAACAGATGTCAGGTATACCCAAAGAGCGTAGATTACACAATATCCATGTGGGTAATAAGTAGGGCTGTACCGAATATTCGCTTCGGGGCCGAATAGTGGACCCAATAACTATTCGGTATTCGGCCGAATAGTTGCGGTCGGGCCGAATACGAATAGTGGTTACCTCACAACCGTTTCTGGACTGGTGGAAAAAAAAACATCAAGACTTCCCACCTTGGTTTATACTGTGAAGCGTTATCTTTGTGCACCACCTACGAGCGTACCAAGCGCCCCTTTATTTCCATCTTGCATGTGTTGCGAGTATAGTGTTTTTAGGTGTGTTGCTGTAGAATCAAAATGCAACACTTAAAAATGTAAGAGGGGCAGAAAAGCAAGTGTTCTAGTGTTGTCGGCTTGATTTCTTTGAGTGGAGTGTCCTCTTTGTTGATTCTTTGAAGTAACCGGAGTTCGTCATCATTTATGGGTGTCGTATCTGTTCTTTCGCCGTCCCGTGGAAACGGCAGCGGCTGAATGTTTTGATCGACGTTCGGTTTCTTGATTGTCTTTGTTGTTTGATCTTCTGGCGTTGGCCGCCCGGCGTCTGGTTTCGTGAGTTCGCGGGGGGCTGGGCGACTTGTAAGGACGGCATTGTTTTCTTCGTCGGCGTTATTTTTGTTTTTGATGTTTCGCCTTGTGGGTTTTCATTTTGACTCTCTGTATTTGTCGTATTTTCCTGTTTAGTACAGCTGGAAATACCTTCAGTGAGACAAAAAGCTGGCCTAATGCTGACAACATGGAGCGAAGGTTTTTCATGGAGGTGTGTCAGCACACGAACTAATACGTGCTGCAGGAGATCGCAGATTGTGGCGAGGCATAATCGCCCATGCCAGCCGGCAAAGCACATGATGATGATGATTCACTATTCATATTCGGCCGAATAGTTGGTCCAGCTATTCGTATTCGGTACAGCCCTAGTAATAAGTTCTCTTCAGAAGCTCAAAGTCCTCTTCATTACACTCCTTAATCTGGCCTACAAACTCTTGGAGTCACCAATAAGGCAGACGTGGTTAGTGCCTTGTCGGGGAGCGGGTACAGTTCGGAGGAGCAGATTGATTACCACAGTCTGGTGAGATTAATGCAGCAGTGAGTGACGAGAGGTTCTGGCAGAAGCTCAAGGCTCAGAGGAAAGGGAAGACAGACATTTAATACAGAATGCTACTGGCACCATTAGTATCTGAACTCTTCGCTGGCTGTTGAAGATGGGGATGGAGTGCTTATGGAAATGCCCCAAGTGCTGTGATGTCGGTTCTTGAATCAAATCAAATAGAAAAAGAAGGCCAATCACGAAGATGAATGGAGGCAGGTGATATCTGCAGCACTGAATTTCAAGGGCTCAGAATGGCGAAAAAGATCTTTCCAGCTTCCAAAAGACTTCTCACTAATCTGTTGATTGTCTATGATTCACATCAATACGTTTGGAATGGTTCCATATAGGTCATAAGCACTCTCTTTCTCACCTTGACTGACAAAGACATACTGCATAGAATATTCTTCATTGTGAGACGATGCTTTTGCTTGAGCCTGTATATACTGAATTACACTGTCTGTCTTCACTTGCTGTGGTCAGAGAGCAGAGGTCAGTAGCTGGTTGAGTCGGATCAAGCCGGCCATGTGTAACCGTGGAAACATCTTTGCCAGGATAGGGATGGGAGGACATGCTGCAAGAGGAAAAGGTCACACCCACCATTAGGACTCAACCAAAGATATATAACTCTGGAAAAAATTACAACACAGTTACTTGTCCTTTATTTATATATTTAGTCGCTGAGTTTGTTTTAATATCCATCTTTATCTCCCCCCCCCCCCACCCATTCATCAATTTAGAATCCATTCACCCACCAATATATCTGTCTGTCTGTTTTCTATATCATCTATCAGTCTGTATATTCTGTTGTAGAGGGTCATATACAGTTTAGTCTGTCTGCATTCTTACTAATAGCCAAACTAGTTTATTCTATGTGTTTCAATCTAACTTAGGCACAGTCTTGTTCTGACCTTTAACTGTTCTTACGGCACAACACTTTTGTGTACACCGTTTGAAGAGCACACAAGTTCACTACTTCCATAGCACAACAGATGTATGTACACTATTTCTGTAGTGTGGCTTAGGCGTTGCAAATGTGCTTTGTAAGGTGCCGGGTTCGATCCCAGCTGCAGGCCTTGCGCTGGTTTTGTCAATGGTATCAAGAAGCCGATTATTCAGAAAGCAGTGGCAAATTACTGGGCGTAAATATGCCTAGAAAAACCACAACAGCCAAAAAAGTGCTCGGGGTGGTTCTGCAATGTCTCGTAGAGGATACATAACTTAACACTATCTCCACAACACAATAAATGTAAGTACATTATCTCCACAACACAACAGATGTAACTACATTGTCTCCACAAAACAACAGCTGTATGTACATTATCTCCACAACACAACAGCTGCATGTACATTATCTCCACAACACAACAGCTGCATGTACATTATCTCCACAACACAACAGCTGCATGTACATTATCTCCACAACACAACAGCTGTATGTACATTATCTCCACAACACAACAGCTGTATGTACATTATCTCCACAACACAACAGCTGCATGTACATTATCTCCACAACACAACAGCTGTATGTACATTATCTCCACAACACAACAGCTGCATGTACATTATCTCCACAACACAACAGCTGTTTGTACATTATCTCCACAACACAACAGCTGTATGTACATTATCTCCACAACACAACAGCTGCATGTACATTATCTCCACAACACCTGCATGTACATTATCTCCACAACACAACAGCTGTATGTACATTATCTCCACAACACAACAGCTGCATGTACATTATCTCCACAACACAACAGCTGTTTGTACATTATCTCCACAACACAACAGCTGTATGTACATTATCTCCACAACACAACAGCTCCATGTACATTATCTCCACAACACCTGCATGTACATTATCTCCACAACACAACAGCTGTATGTACATTATCTCCACAACACAACAGCTGCATGTACATTATCTCCACTGCACAATAGTAGCAGGTACACATTTCCACAGCACCATACTAATGCGTACACTGCCTCCATATAATGACAGTTCTGTATACACTATCCAAACAGCACAATACGTATCCATACACTGACTGTTTGTGCTAAACTATGCGAAGCGATCTACTGCAGTCTGATAAAAAAGCCAAGAAAAGTTGACAAAAATTACAATCATATCTCTGTCTCTCGCCAGATCTTCTACTTCATACCCAAGGGGGTCACTTATATCCTGTGCCCATCTTTATGCTGGTCGACCCCTGCCCCTCCGACCTGGCACCATGCCTTCTGCTGATATTTTTTCTATGAAAGTGACATATATACAGTCTGATCAAAAGGTCAAGAAATAACTCATGTAAGTCAGCCTCTCATTAGTTCTCCCACTTCATGCGCTTTATATGAGAAGAAAAGGGCCATCCAGGCTATTAGAAGTGAACAGAGTCTGGCCAGAGATGACTACCACTTACTTGACCGGCATGGGCAGGTCATTGTCATACGTCTCAGGACAGGACATAACAAACTTAACCAGCATATGCACAGGCTTCGTCTAAGTAGTTCACCTTTTTGCCCTTGTGGGCTATGTGTGCAGACTACAGAACATGTCCTGCAAGACTGTCCCTTGTTCAGCCCATTAAGAAAGGAATACTGGCCCAGTGAGTCACCACTGTACACAAAGTTGTATGGGACTAAAAATGAACTCATTAAAACAGTCAAGTTTATCACAAGAACCTGTCTGTCGGTGTAAATCAGAAAGTGAACACAAGAAGAAGAAGAAGAAGAATGCGCTTTATAAAAGAGTCACCTCTAGCCTATGCCCATCCTTGGGTTAGTCGACCCCTGCCCCTCCTTCCTGGCACTATACCTTCTGCTAATTTTTTTTCTCTATGAAAGTGAGATAACTTCACTCTGATCAAAAGCCAAGAAAGGTTAAGAAATTACACAATTAACTCTGCCTCTCGCCAGCTCTCCCACTCCATGCACTTCCTACCCAAGGAGTCACTCATATCCTGTGCCTATGTTTGGGATGATCGACCCCCGCTCCTCCTTCCTGGAACCATGCCTTCTGCTATTATTTTTTCCTATGAAAGTGACAAACTGTAGTCTAATCAAAATCCAAGAAAGGTTTAGAAATAATAAACACATGCTAAATGCAAGACTTCAACAAAACAATGTTTACTGTAACAACATACCCTGCTGTCCCCTGTCCCACAGCTGCATCCGGCTGGGGAAGGCAAACCACACCAGGTACTGGGACAGACAGCTGTCCAAGCTGTGGGACAGCGGCTGTCCGTGGTGAAGATAATGTCCCATGTTGTCCAGGTTTTCTGTTGCAATCAGAAGCAAACAGATCAAGGGATGTGAGAATTCTTGTCCAGCACATTAAAAAAAGTATCAGATTTTTCTTCTTTAAAAAATGACACTGGCCTCCAGGTTGATCCATTTAAAAATTACTAACATAAAATATCCTGGGAAGTCAAGTTGGCCGGCAAGATGTTGACCATATTACCCGCAAAGTGCTGACTGGCTTATAACATAACATAACATAACCCTGGACCCATTAGGGTCATAGAGGTGTATCGATGGAAGAACTAGCACATAAAACCCGCCATCTTTCTTTGTCTTCCGTTTTTTGAATAAGTGCACGATTACAAAGTCCTATCCATTTCCTAATGTTGCCCTCCTCTTCTTCGACTACCATCCGATGTTTCCTAAATGTTTCATGTCTTTGCATTCGAATCATGTCTCACCACGTGCCCGAACCAAGCTAGCTTGCTACAGATACCATAACAAACACTGTGCCCGGTATATATATCTCATTAAACATAGTAAAACTCAAATGACCTTTGTCATGTCATCGGTGCATTGAGCTCATGCTTCTAGATCCATATTTTTATATAAACCAACTGGGTGGGAGTCACCGTGGGGTAGCGGCTAGATACTCACGTGTGGATCCAAAGGTTAAAGGTTTGTTCCATGGTGGAGCCGGACTTTAAACAAAAAAGGAAATTGAATCCCAGATCGACCCAGCCTTGAGTGCGTACCGGGTGCAGTCCAGGGAAGTAAAGGCGGCTGGCGTGATCCTGAACACATCACCCATCTTGTGCTGGTTGGTCTATCAAAATATAGGTCTAGCCCTATATGCCCAAAGGCGTGGAAAAGGGACCTTGGCTTACTTATAAACCAACTGGAATTTGACAGGTGATAAGTTTAACATTGTGCAGGAGGCTCATCTTCTCATGTCATTTCCTGGCATCCATTTTGGGCTGGGTTGATTTGGAAGTTCAGGTAAATTGTATTTTTTTTTTAAATGCAAAGAACATCCACGTACCTGTATCAGCCAGAGAACAGGAAAACCACATGCCTGTGGCAATCAGAGAACAGGAAAACCACATACCTGTGACAATCAGAGAACAGGAAAACCACATACCTGTGGCAATCAGAGAACAGGAAAACCACATACCTGTGGCAATCAGAGAACAGGAAAACCACATGCCTGTGGCAATCAGAGAACAGGAAAACCACATACCTGTGACAATCAGAGAACAGGAAAACCACATGCCTGTGGCAATCAGAGAACAGGAAAACCACATGCCTGTGGCAATCAGAGAACAGGAAAACCACATGCCTGTGGCAATCAGAGAACAGGAAAACCACATGCCTGTGGCAATCAGAGAACAGGAAAACCACATGCCTGTGGCAATCAGAGAACAGGAAAACCACATGCCTGTGGCAATCAGAGAACAGGAAAACCACATGCCTGTATCAGCCAGAGAACAGGAAAACCACATGCCTGTGGCAATCAGAGAACAGGAAAACCACATACCTGTGGCAATCAGAGAACAGGAAAACCACATGCCTGTGGCAATCAGAGAACAGGAAAACCACATGCCTGTGGCAATCAGAGAACAGGAAAACCACATGCCTGTGGCAATCAGAGAACAGGAAAACCACATGCCTGTGGCAATCAGAGAACAGGAAAACCACATGCCTGTGGCAATCAGAGAACAGGAAAACCACATGCCTGTGGCAATCAGAGAACAGGAAAACCACATGCCTGTGGCAATCAGAGAACAGGAAAACCACATGCCTGTGGCAATCAGAGAACAGGAAAACCACATACCTGTGGCAATCAGAGAACAGGAAAACCACATACCTGTGGCAATCAGAGAACAGGAAAACCACATACCTGTGGCAATCAGAGAACAGGAAAACCACATGCCTGTGGCAATCAGAGAACAGGAAAACCACATGCCTGTGGCAATCAGAGAACAAGAAAACCACATACCTGTGGCAATCAGAGAACAGGAAAACCACATTCCTGTGGCAATCAGAGAACAGGAAAACCACATTCCTGTGGCAATCAGAGAACAGGAAAACCACATGCCTGTGGCAATCAGAGAACAGGAAAACCACATACCTGTGGCAATCAGAGAACAGGAAAACCACAGACCTGTGGCAATCAGAGAACAGGAAAACCACATGCCTGTGGCAATCAGAGAACAAGAAAACCACATACCTGTTGTGGCAATCAGAGAACAGGAAAACCACATGCCTGTGGCAATCAGAGAACAGGAAAACCACATGCCTGTGGCAATCAGAGACCATGAAAAATATACACATTTCACAATCAGACAAAGGGAAAACGACATTACTTAAGACAACCAAAGGGAAAACTACATACTATTGACGACCAGAAAATAGGAAAACCACATACCTTTGACAACAGGAAAACCCCAAATCTATGATAACCAGAGAGCATAAAATAAGCACATACCTGCGAGCCATTTATCCAGGAGTTGTTCTATCTGACAGCGAAGACTAAGAAGAAACTCTGCGTAGACTAGTCTGTCCTTGTCCGTGCCAGCGACTTGCAGTCTGTGACGACTCAGGTAGTAGTCCATGACTAGTCGCAACTGTTGTATACCCAGTGTGCCGCTGCTGTGGGAAAACTGTTGGCTTATCTGGGGAGAGAGGACATTCAAGTAATTTGTTGGTTTTTCTGTGGGTGAGAGGACATTCAGGTAATTTGTTGGCTTTTCTGTGGGTGAGAGGACATTCAGGTAATTTGTTGGCTTTTCTGTGGGTGAGAGGACATTCAGTTAATTTGTCTGCTTTTCTGTGGGTGAGAGGACATTCAGGTAATTAGTGGGTTTATTTGTGGGTGAGAGGACATACAGGTAATTTGTAGATTTAGCTGCGGGTGAGAGGACATTCAGGTAATTTGTGGATTTATCTGCGGGTGAGAGGACATTCAGGTAATTCGTGGGTTTATCTGTGGGTGAGAGGACATACATTTAATTTGTTGGTGAAAGGACATTTAGGTAATTTGTTGGTTTATTTGTGGGTTAGAGGACATTAGGTGAATCTCTAACTTATCTGCTGTGATTACAAGATGTTCAGACAATCTGTTGGCTTAATTTGTTGGGGGAAAAAAAGGGGGGGGGGAGGGAGGACATTTAACTTTACCAGAGACCTGAGGCCCTGAACCTAACTGTCCCCTATACCTGGGCTCCTGGGCACTAAAGCAGAAAAACCAACATGATATACACAAATATTAGTTACATGCAAACAAGTGGTTAGAATAAGATGAAACCTTGAGACACTGTAGAAAATAGTTTTAACTTTCATCCTTGAAATTCAGATCTGTATTTAGTGATACAAAATTCCTTGTCCAACCTTCATCACCACCTAGATCTCCCACATCAGCTGTTTGAGGGACATGCCCCCCTTTTCTTACTTTCAATCTTGCTCTAGATCTATGAGGTTCAAGATTCTCCTCATCATTCGAGCTCTCACAGTCTGTGTCACTTGAACTGGAAACATTCTTGCTGAAATTCTGACATCTCACAGACTGAATCAACTAAAGTACTGTTCAGATGTTGGAATGTGAAAAGCCTAGAGCTACTTTGCTTTCCTGTTGAATTGCCTGGTTCATCAGCCGCTTTACTGTGAATCTTCAGAATTTGTTCACGTTAAACCACATGAAGTCAATTCAAAAACATAAGGGCAGCCATTTGCAATGACTAACCATGAGGTCTGACCACGATTGGTTGGTTATTTTTAGTCAGTGATGCATTTTTTCAGGCAGTATGCAAAGTACTGAAAATTAGGAACAGCGTTTTTAGCGGCAGATTAGGAAATTACCCGAAAAGGGGTACCGAACTCGAGGCATTCCCATAAACTCTCTGTTCCCATCTTCAGCAGCTAGTACAAGTTCCAAAACCTAATGGTGCCGGTAGCAGTCTGATTATACGCCCCTTCTGCTTTTCCTCTGAGCGTCAAGTATCGGCCAGATCCCCTCGTCACTCCTCGCTGCGTCACTCTCACCAGACTGTGATGACCAATTTTCTGTTCCGAACTGTAACACCTGCTCCCATAAGGCCTTAACCATGTCTGTCTTATCCTTCATCAATAATCTACTAAGCTGTGAAGTGCCAGCCAATCTGTCCACCTGTACATGTCCTAACACACCGGCATACATTGGAGAAAACATCCAGACAATGCTCTTCACCCCTGAACACTCTGCATGAAGCCTGCCTGTCTTCATCTTCCTCAGCATGCTTTCTGAGTCACTTACATTCACAATGGCATGTGTGCACATGTGCATGCATGTGCCATGTTCTCTGGCCAGCGGACAATGTGACGATCTCCACCTCCATTCTTAAGCTGGATGTTGTGGTATCATATGCAGAGCTCTCCTGCACCAAAAGTCGCCTATTATTAGCTTTTGCAAGAACCACCAGGGACTTTTACCTCTCGACACTGAACCATTTGTATAAATAATCACATCGAATGAGTCAGCATTATCCTGAAATAATTTCCGTGTGTACCTTTGACATGTTGTAAAGTGACAAATAACAGCCCTGATAATACACTCGGGTGAAAATCAGCAATAATGTACTCAGCTGGAAATCGGCAAGACTAAGGTGAAAATTGTCCCAAAAAAGGAAGCCAAAAAAGTGAAAAATTGTCAAAAAGCTGCAATACGCAAACTGGGTTTAGGTGAAAATATGAGTGAAAATTGAAAAAAAAAAAAGGGGGGGGGGGGGGGGGGGGTGACTTCACTTAGATAAAAACTTAAGAAAAAAACTTGCACTTAAGTGAAAATGTCCAAAAGTCAACCCTTATTAGCTTTTGCTAAGAACCATCAGGCACTTTTGCCTCTTGACACTGAACCATTTGTATAAATAATCATATTACTTAAGCGAGCATTATCCTGAATTAATTGCCATGTGTTCCTCTGATATGTTGTAGAGTGACAAAAAACAACCCTGATAATGTGCATAAGTAAAAATAGGCAATACTGCACTTGGGCAAAAATCTGCACACACACACACAAAAAGGTATACTCAGGTAAAAATCACACACAAAAGCTGCCCTTAGGTGGAGTATGCCATAACTGGACGGGTGAAAATCACGAAAACTGCACTTTGGTGTAGATTCAATGATCTCTCTGCAGTCAGAAGTGATACAAGAATAGACCTACTGCCTACCAGAAAGCATGTCGTAAGAGTCGACTAATTGGTAGCTTTCTTTGAAGTCGGAGTGCATCTGCCCGAGAGACAAGGAACCAACAGTCTGCATTCAAGTGAATCAAATCTGTAAAACTGATGCACACGCAACACTCAGGTTCTGGAGCAGGACTGCAGTCCAGGTGTGGACGAACAACCAGAACTTTCTGCCAGAGTGTACAGCTGGTGAACCCGAAGAAGAAGAAGTGATACATTCATCTCCCTGCAGGTAGTAAACCCTTACCTCTGGCTGCAGGCAGGCAACACTTACATGTTTCAGTATAAAGTGTGGGCAGATAGCCTCAGCCTTCTCTTGTGACACACACTGGTAGATGAGAGAAAACAGCTCCTGTATCATAGAACCATCCTGGGGACAATGCAATATCCAAAATTATCCAGGGGGATAATTCAACCAACCCCTGGGCACAATACAGCATGCAACATTATCACAGAGACAAAACAACATGCAAAACTAACCTAGGGGATATCACAACATCCAATTTATTTGGAGTAGGGGGGGGGGGGGGAGGGGTGGCACATTACAACATCTAGTGTACATTTATTAGGAAGTAAAGAGTGACTTTTTCAAAGCATTGCCAATTGCACTGTCTGTGATGTGACTGGCGACCAGTCTGAGGTAATTAAGTGACTGGGTATTGTTTTGCATTGTTTGAAAAATCCCCCATCTAATTTCTTTAGCCAGAGTACTGACATGTGATTAACTTATTACAGTCCATGACATCTGGCAATCAAACATGTGCAATCAAACATGTGCAATCAAACATGTGCAATCAAGCATGTGCAATCAAACTATTGCCAGTTTCAGGCCCCAATGAGCAAAGGTTATAACATGGGAGACCCATGTGATGTGTAACAGCACAACAGGTTAATGAATAAGTTAATGTGTAGCCTTATTTTTGACTCCTCTGCATAAATAATTGTCTCCTTCTTGTCTCTACTCCTGCAATGCCTTGCAGTGTCAGGGCAGAAAGAGATCTCTGGAACGGGGACCTTCTGCTCACTTCATATAATGTACTTTTCAGTGTCTGACATTTCTGCCGTCCATTTTCTGCGTGGTCATTGACAGACAGACAATCAGACTGTTTGCATTTCATTAGAGTGTAGAAACAGAGCACCATGTAATGGCTCTGCATGTATAGAAGCCTCCTTGGATGGTGGGGGATGCTTATGTTCTGTCCCTGCCTTTTCTTGGGGGCTGACTAGCATTATGTGGCTTCTCCGGACCAGCCTTATGGGAAAAGAGGAAAGGGGGGGGGGGGGGGGGTGTGGGGGGGGGGGGGCAGGGAGGGGAGAACCACCAGTGACTTGGAAAAACAGAGATAACCACACAGTATGAGGTTTAGACGATGGATCAACATCATGGCACAAGGGGTAACCCATAAGTGCTCTGTTCTACTTCTGACAAGTCTGAGTCCGAAGAATCTCAGCTCAGTGCATGAACTCCGTAGCACCAGCAAGAATCCTCACTTTGGGTAGATTTTTTAACTCTAATTTTCCCAGGCAGCACTGTTAGGCTACTCTTTTAGATTTCCAACTGCCAAGGAATTTTTTTACGTGTGCAACAATAAACATGAGCAATTGATCTTACTACCCCAAATGATCTTACTACCCAGAGACCAGGGGAAATTACTAGAAGTCCACGTGAAAAAATCCCAGCCTTAACGGGAAGAGAACCGGGGACCTCCCAGCACTCGAGGCAGACACCACGCCGCCTCCTGACCACACAATAATGAGACTGCAATGTCCCAGGAAACTAACTGAGAAGATTAACCCAGGCACCCAATGTCTGCAGGAGTCAGATGTGTCGGACGAAAGGCGCAAATAGAGCAAGCAGGTTGAATGACCACAAAAGAAGAAAGGACCAAACAGGACAGAACATTAAAAAACAGGAGAAAAAGGGGGGGGGGGGGGGGGGGGGGGGGGTGACTGTAAGGCCTATGTGACATATAATGGCAGAACAGGATAATGATGATACCAGAAATAGTATGGATGTTGTAATGAAAACAATAGCAACAATAAACAACAGCAAAGCCGAAAGTCCCGATGAAACAATAAAAACAAAATTACAATAACAGACTGCAATAATGCTGTGCAGATACAACCTGTACTCACAGATTTGTTGTATTTGATGAAGTACTCAGCTAGACCAGTGATCCGGGCGTCAGATGTGAAGGATTTGATGAGGTCAGGCTGGGGATACCAACATCACACAGGGTGTACATTTCTTTTTCCATACACTAACAGGGTTTATAAGTCTATGTACCCCCGTGTGGGTTTCGGGGCCCTACTATGGGCCTACCCAAAAGCATGTCGTAAGACTCGACTAATTGGGAGCTTCCTTTGAAGTCGGAGTGCATCTGCCTGAGAGGCAAGGAACCAACAGTCTGCATTCAGATCTGTCAAACGGATGCACACGCAACATTCAGGTTCTGGAACAGGACTGCAGTCCAGAAGTGGACGAACAACCAGAACTTCCGCTGGAGTTTACAGCCGGTGAACGCGAAGAAGAAGAAGATTTGTCTATGTCTGTCCGTCCAATAGTTCCCCTGTATGTGTGTAGGGTTCGTGTCATAGTAGGTAGTTAGGGGGGGGGGGGGGGGTTTACACGGCAAAGAGTGGTCAAGCCATTTGTCCACGCTCTGAAGGTTGTGGGTTCATTTCACAGGTTTAAAGAGACCTATCAGGGTCATCACTGGTGCCATGGAGTTTGTGCTTTGGTTGACACTCTTGACAGCCGGCTAGCCATTTTGTGGTGAGACCAAGCCAAAAGGGATTATAACCGGTGCAATGAAGCCCGCCACCTTTACTTTCCAGGACTGCACCTGGTACCCACTCAAGGCTGAGTCGACCTGGGAGTCAAGGTCATTTCTAAAAAAAAGTCCACCTCTGTCAGGACGCAAACCCACAACCTTCCGATCCGTAGGCGGGCGTCAAACCGCCAGCACCATGGCGACTCCCTCAAAAAAAAAATGTGTAATTATGCTTAATCTCTTTTAGTTGTGCTCCAAATGTCACAGCCACATAAAACTGGTCTTATCAGCGCTTTATTGTTTTTGATCTTGGTGTTACGAGAGAGAGACTTTGACAGGAGCAGATGTTATAGGGCATCATCATCATCATCATGTGCCCTGCCGACTGCTGCAGGCATTCATGCATCTCCACAGATCTCGGTTCCTTGTCCTCTAGATCAGTTCCACCAATGATATTTTTTCATGCCATCATCGCAGTCCATCTGTTACCATTTCTCTCAGTCTGCCTCTCCCTCTTCTACTGTTGATCTTTCCAGTCGACAAAATACTCTCAAAAGCGCCCCCCCCCCTTCCCATAACCAAAGAACAGTTCTTGTCTTTTCCTTACAGCTGTATATATTGATCTGCTTTCATTAGTTTCCTTCAAGCAATCCTCATTAGTTACTCTAGCAGTCCAAGAGATTCTCAACAATCATCTGAAAAACCACATCTCTGTCACCTCCAAGTTCTTTATAATGTGCGCATTCACATTCCATGACTGACTGCCAAACAGCAATATAAGTTTTACATACAATTTTAGTACTCTCTTTCGGACATCCAAAGACAGCGACATGTTGCACAAGATGTTCTTCTTTCTGCGAAATGCAGCCTTAGCCTGGACTATTCTGTTCTTAATTGCTCACCTTCCATCTGACGTTATAACTGTACACAGACATTTTAATTTCTCAACTTGGATTACCTTTTTACCTTCTATTCTAATATCACACTGTGGTGGTATTCTTTTTCTTTCTTTTAAGGCACAGTATACTTTACTCAAACCATCTAATTTGTTGTTCTTTAATACCTTTGCTTCACTCTTATTTCATTACCCACTATGCCAGCATGGTGGGTAATGAACAGACATACAGATTGGCATCAGGTGGTGAATTGATTCATGACAAGGCAGATGTGGTCAAGGCTCTTTGGGAACAAGCAACAGAATCACTAGAGAAACAAGATTATTATGGGCTGGAGAGAATGAAGCACCTGGGTGTAACCAGAGGGTCTGGCCGGCTTACTACACTCAGAGGAAAGGCAAGACGGACATATAACCAGATTGTGACTGATACCATCAGTATTGAAACTCTGCGCTGGCTGCTGAAGATGAGGATGGAGCACACATGGGAATGCCCCGAGAGCTGTGATGTCAATTCTTGACTCAACACTAGTTTCAGCCCAAGTCTTTTTCTAGTTTCTTCCTTTTTTAATTTAGCTCTTTTTGTTACTCTGGCAGCTTTCTTAAGACATGCCACCTCTGTCGTCATGAGTGTCAATTCACTAGTTGTTGCAAGGGTCCATGATACTTCTTCTTCTGCACTTCTTCACACTCACCCACAACAAAATCTGGAAGAAAAGTTCTGGCTGTTTGTCCAGTTCTGGATTTTGGTCTTGTTTCAGAATTTGAGTTTTGTGTGCACATATGTTCTACTGATCTGACTTGTGTGCAAACTGTTAGTTCCTCGTCTCTAAGGCAGAGCCACTCCTACTTCAAAGAAAACACCCCTAATTGCTAAAAAGTTGTAACTGCGATTATACGACGTGTTTGTATGTGTGGGTGACATAAATATATAATGTACCAGTTTAATAAACTTACTGGTATTATTACATAACTACACTACGATCTGCTATAGAAAGATTCTCAGAACATCTTGGACAAAAAAGATGAGAAATTTTGACATCTTAAAAGATCTGAACATTAAGGAAGATTGGCTAATAAACAGCATCCTTTCTCAAAAGCTGAAATATTTTGGTCATATCAAGCGCCACGACGAATTGGAAAAAATTATAGCAGAAGGCATGGTACCAGGAAGAAGGGGCAGGGGCCGACCGACACGAAGATGGGCACAGGATATAAGTGACTCCTTGAGTGTGAAAGTTCATGAGGCGGGAGAACTGGCGAGAGATCAAGTTTCTTGCAGGCAGACTGTGATGAGAGCCACGTTCTGCAAAGGACCTGCTACATGATGATGATGACACTACGATGTACAGGTCGACCCAGCCTTATTGGGTAAAACTCTTTGACCAATACTCCTGAATGTGTGGAAAAGAGCCCTTTTACACAATGATGTAGTTCCAAGTTAGAGGTTAGAGAATCGACTTCTATGCACCGGGTTTGATCTCATACAGCTCCGTCTATCTCAGCAGAACAGCTAGCATCCTGCCAAGAGCCCCGCACAAAGCATGAACTCTGTAGCTCATGCGATGATCCTTGGGAATCTCCGTAAAAAATGCACGTGTGAACCAAATGACACAGCCGTGAAACGAACCCCCCCCCCCCCCTCCCCCACCTTTAGAGCTGAAGGCAAATGGCTTGACCACTTCACAATGGATAAAGAATTTTAAGTATGGAAAAACAAGCGAAATATGCGTCACATACCTGACACACAAAATGACAAGAGCTGTCGGCCATCAGGGACTTTGCCAAGGTACTCCTGTATCCCTGGTAAAAGGAAAAACCAAAAAATGTGATTTCTGATCTGATCTAGGGATATCAGACATTAAAAGACCAGCATGATATTATTATATTATAAAAGAACCACTTTTATAGCTTTCACAGTAGTACAAATGTTGCACCGTGGAAGAGACTGGAAAGGGGGAGGGAGGTGGGGGGGGGGGGGGTGGGGGCTTCACCACAGTGGAAACAGTTCAACCAACTTTCAACGTGTACAGTTCAACCAACTTCCATCTTAGGGAAAACACAAACTGACTGTTTATTATGACATTACTGTGTGTGTTATAAAAGTAAATGAATCTATGACAATCAATATGGCAGTGTGTCATCACAGGTATGGTTAGATCAATGACAGTTCCAGAAAATTACTGTCCTAGGCATGGTACTGTCATACATCTTAGGCATGGCACTGTCATATGTCCTGGGCATGGTGCTGTCATATGTCCTGGGCATGGTACTGTCATACATCTTAGGCATGGCACTGTCATATGTCCTGGGCATGGTGCTGTCATATGTCCTGGGCATGATGCTGTCATATGTCCTGGGCATGGCACTGTCATATGTCCTGGGCATGGCACTGTCATATCCCCTAGGCATGGCGCTGCCATATGTCCCGGGCATGGCGCTATCATATGTCCTGGACATGGCGCTGTCATATGTCCTGGACATGGCGCTGTCATATGTCCTGGGCTTTGCGCTGTCATATGTCCCGGACATGATGCTGTCATATGTCCTGGGCATGGTGCTGTCATATGTCCCAGGCATGGTGCTGTCATATGTCCCGGGCATAGTGCTGTCATATGTCCCGGGCATGGCGCTTTCCTAAATCCTGGGCATGACGCTGTCATATGTCCCGGGCATGGCGCTATCATATGTCCCAGGCATGGTGCTGTCATATGTCCTGGGCAGGGTGCTGTCCCAGATCCTTAGCATGGCATTGTCATATGTCTTGGGCATGGCGCTGTCATATGTCCCTGGTCTCGGGTGTATACTGTCATATGTTCTATGCACAGTACTGTCATATATCCTAGGCACAGTACTGTCATAAGTCCTGGGTAGAGTACTGTCGTGACTGACTTCTGGTAAAACATGATAGTCTTCTTTTGGTACTTAGCTAAGAGTCTTTATATAGTGTGGGTAACATCCAGACAAAAACCAGATCAGACAGCCCACAGACAGTGATGTCATGTGTCTTACAGTACCTTGGGATCCTCCATGTAAGACAGGTGACCCGCCCTCTGCTTCACACCTAACACACCACCCTTGTGGAGCAGCAGCCTGCAAGAAACAGATGTCAGCTCAAAGTCAGCATACACTATCAAGCAAATATACGGTAACATACAGGACATATACAAGGTCCAACAATTAAGTAATGAGACTAATTCCATAAAAATTAAAATCATTACAAACATAAACTGGGCGTCCAGGTCTAGGTGCATTGTTAATCATTTGTACACCACTTTTTAATGGTGAATGCCACCTGAAAATCTGTGCACCAGATAAACAATTATCCCCATACACTTGTCGCATCAATTCAACTGTCTCAACGGTACTTTTTCTGAGTTTTAAACATAATTTAATGTTAGCTTTTTGCTCCATGCTGATTTTGTAACAATGCACATCTAACTAGGTCAATAAAATGGTGTCTTGTTTGTCGCCTGCTTTTCAGGCGACAATGCAAAGTTGCCAGATCATAAATGAAGGCTGCCTCTTTGGATTCCATGCTTTGCTACACAGATGGCCCTTTTGTCTTGGTTGTAATATAATAAAATCAGTCTCATTACTTAATTGTCGGACCTTGTATCATAATCATGAAGCAGGTCCTTTGCAAAGCGTTGTTCTCATCACAGTCTGCCTGAAAGAGACTCTGTCTCTCGCCAGCTCTCCCACATTGTCCACTTTCCTACCCAAGGTGTCACTAATATATCTTCTGCATATCTTCGAGCTGGCTCCCCAGGTCAACTGAGCATAAAATGGGTGCCAGGTAATATCCTGGGAAGTAAAAGCAGCAAACATGATGGTGACCACATTACTCACACAGTGCCAACTAGTCACTAAAAATATAAGCCTAGTATCATGTGCCCAATGCACCACTTGCATAAAAAAGGCCCCTTGACGTTTACTTATGACAGATGGTTCACACGGCAACATAACGTCACCATAAGATTTTACGACTTGAGAATCAACACCATAGCATACCAGGTATACCCATAGATCATTGGTAACTTGCCTAGCTCGAGCACTGACAGTCTAAACCAGGGCTATTCAACAGGTGGTCCGCTGATAAACAAAGCACTTCAACAGGAAAGTGAAGTAGGTCTAGGTGTTTCAGTCCAACAGATGATCAATACTTTGGTTGATTTGTACTCTGAGGAGTCAGAATTTCATGAAGAGTACATTCCCAGTTGAAGTGACACAGTCAGTGAGAGCTCGAGTGATGAGGAGAATCTTAAAAAATTATAGATTTAAAACTAAATAGATAGTAAGAGAAGGGGGCGTGTCCCTCAAACAGCAACATCTGGTGCTCACTTTGTGAAACAAGGCTGATCCTGCTGGGTGGATTGGCAAACAAAGGTGGAATATTGGCGCTAGATGAAAGGTAAACCTATTTTCTACAATGTCTCCAAGTTTCATCTTATTCTAATCACTTGTTTGCAGGTAACTAATATTTGTGTATATCATGTTGGTTTTTTCATGTGAATGCCCAGGAGCTTAGGTATAGGGGGCAGTTAGGTTCAGGGCCTCAGGTCTGGTAGGGTTGAGATGCAGCGATCATCTATATTAATAAAAATCTTAATTTTCCGGTGTCGTTAGCTCTAAACTCGGAAACTACTGAACCGATTGCTTTCAAATTTGCATACAACGTTGCCTCTGACTCAAAGCGTTATTTTTTGTCATAAAATCGCACAAACCAGGAGCGATGTAACTTCAGCAACTGTCAAATCATTATTTGTTTCGTTGTCCGCCCGGATTTATTTTTAACAACGACCTGTACAGACAGTAGTTACCGTTTTGTGTTGTTGTTGTTGTTGTGACGGTGGTGATGGTAGTGGTAGCAGTAGTACTGGTACTCGATGGGTGATGTGGTAGCTGTTACACTGGCCACATTTACTTCTCAGTACAAATTAATGCTATCCATTTTTGTCTGGGTGGACACAGATGCCAAGCTTAATTTAACCTTTCACTGTGCAACACCGACCTTCACATTCTCATTATATACTTTTATTTCTACATGAGTATTCAGTAGCATAGTTAGTTGTAAGCATTTTGTTTTTTTACACGGGTGACAGGGGTTCAATTCCCCACTGGGTCATATAATTTTTTTTTTTTGGGGGGGGGAGGAGGGGATCTAACTGGATGGCTGCCACGTTTAGTTGTGGTTTATAGCTAGGCTGCAGTATCTATGCTTTTTTCCGTTCGATTTTGGGGTTTACAGCTAGCCTGCGATAGAGGCGACGTGATGCTTAATGTTCATGTCACGGGTAATATTCGTTCGCCCTTGAGAGGGCGGTTGGCACGTTGTGTTGTGGTTTACAGCTACGTTGCGACATTTGCGCCTTACACCCAAAGACATCTGATTTAAGTACAGTCCACATTAGCCTCCCCTCTCCCCCTGACGCTTCACTCGATCAAAAACTATTCGTTTATGACAGAAACTGTTAACTAAGAAGGCTTACGGTTAGTTTGGTCTTGGTCGACACCGATGCCAAGGTTAATTAAACATCGTCACTTCGGACAGGGAGAGATGACGAGTGCAGGTTTTTATTTCCGCTATTTGTGAGTATAGTGTACAATTTTTTTTATATCACAAAATATTACTGTGGGTTCCATCACCGGTTAGGTGATGGAGTTTTAAGTCGGGGACACACTTAACTAAACAGTCCATGGCGACAGCATGCGGCGCCAAATCCTCTGGCTACAACGACCTGTACAGACAGTAGTTACCGTTTTGTGTTGTTGTTGTTGTGACGGTGGTGATGGTAGTGGTAGCAGTAGTACTGGTACTCGATGGGTGATGTGGTAGCTGTTACACTGGCCACATTTACTTCTCAGTACAAATTAATGCTATCTATTTTTGTCTGGGTGGACACAGATGCCAAGCTTAATTTAACAATATTTCATCAGGCGATGACTTCCCCATACTTCATAGAGGATGATATGATTGTCACAGGGGGTGTGGGGGGATGTCGAGGGGAGTTGATGCCAGACCTGTAACTGAGAGAGCTTAAAACATTTTTTTTTACATTTCTCATTTCCTAACTATTTCTATTTTAACAATGTCACCGCATAATAATGTTTCAATTATTCGGAGAGGGAGATATAATTGGCAAGATGCTTGAGTCCTTGGTAGCGTAGTTGTCTATTTTGAGTGTTACGTGGGTGACTGGCGATCAATGCCCCGCTGGGTGATAAAAAAAATTTTTTTTTGTCTTTAAGCGCCGGGCATTTTTTGTTGTGGTTCGCAGCTAGGCTGCGATATCTACGCCTTCTTTCTGCTCGATTTGGGGGGTTTACAGCTAGCCTGCGATAGCAGTGACGAGATGTTGGTCATGTCATGGGTAATCTTTGTTCGCCTTTGAGAGGGTGGTTGGAACGTTGTGTTGTGGTTTACAGCTAGGCTGCGATATCGGACCCAAACTCTTCAGTCTTACGTAGTATATTTGTACGTATTCCGCCCTTCACGTGGTTGACCGGTGTTCAATTACCCACTGGGTGCTAATTTTTCTTTTTTCCTTAAGAGGGCTGTTGGCATGTTGTGTTGTGATTTACAGCTAGGCTGCGAAATCTGCACCTTTCGCCCAAAGACTTCAGATTTCAGTAAAGTCCGTGAGTGGCGCGGTGATTTATGTCACAGGCGTGAGGGAAAGTTAAGTCCAACATGATGTGTATAAGGAGATACTCCGTACGTCACTCGGGCGCCAGTCCTTCACTGTTCTGGTTGTATGGAACCTCAAGCAAGACCCCTGCAGCACGTCCTCGTCGTGCGCCACGGATAATGTCTCAAATGAGCATTAAAAGAGCTGTCAGGGGATCTCGGAGTTTGGCGGCCCCCAGAGGTGATGTGTCCTTGTGGCTCTCATCAGCCCGCCCACAAACGCATGGGTGAAAAAGGTTATCAAAACTCATTAGGAACATGAGTAAAGTGCTTGCCGAATGTACATCTAAAATTACAACCCTTGGTTAAAAGTTTGGGGAGTGAAGAGAACATTGTTCTGCTGAGACTCAACCCTTGACCTAGAGATTTACCCGCAGCACAGACGAGTAACATCTCCTGTGGGTGGCGACTCGCAGCAAGATTCTACCCATGTACATCCTCTGTTAACCCTCAGTGTCGTCGTCACCGCGCTGAGGTTCACCAAGACAGCAACCATCCATCGGCTGGCTAAGCCTAAATGTCCAACAAAACTAGAACCCACGTCACACGAGTAAGCTCAAAATCTGACCATCACAAATCGTATTGAACGGAAAAAGTCCAAATGTCCACACCAAAAGACCCCACTCGCCCGAGTGCTGGGACCAAACAGATAATGATATGCCTGACGCAGGATGTTGAATTTTGTCGGGCTAACGGCTCCTCAAAGATACCTAACGTGCGAAGAAAAAGAATGTACCTATTTGGGTGGTCACAAAAGTCCAGAATTCGCGGGCTGCTCCCCGCTGACTTCCGGAGGGCGCAGCCCTTGTCGAGCGGGAGGCCTAATACGGTTGTGAGGTCAAGCATGCATGTGCAGGACGTGACGATTCCTTGGGTGAGCCCAGAACCAGAGCGCCATGTGCCGGCTCTGCAAAAATGGAAGCCTCCTTGGATGGCAGGGAATGCCCATGATCTGCCCCTGCCTTCCCTTGAGGGCCACTCGTAACAGGGGGCTGCCCCAAAGGGGTACTCCGGGGGCAATACCTGCGAAGAAGGAGTCAAAGTGGACACCACACAAATCAGGCAACGTCTCGACCCACACAAAACAATGGCCACAGTCATCCTAGAAATAGGCCTGACGTCTTCCCTCGAAGTCGGAGTACATATGCCCGCGAGGCAGGGAACAACAAAACGGTTGTACACGCAAAACTCAGGTCCAGGTAAAAACCAAAAGTCCAAGCGGACGATTAACCGGGACCTTCCGCCGGAATTCACAGCCGGTGAACGAAGAAGAAGAAGAAGTAAAGTCCCATTTATCTTCCCCGCGACGCTTCACTCGATAATAAACTATTCGTAGATGACAGAAGCTGTTAACTAAGACTGCTTACAGTCCAGTTTACTTTGGGTGGACACGGATGCCAAGGTCATTTAACATTCGTCCCTTCGGAGAGAAGAGATGACGGGTGGGTTTTTTAAATTTCCGTTATTTGTGAGTATAGAACGTACTATTACTGTGGGTTCCATCACTGGTTAGGTGATGGGAGTTTTTTTTTCTTTTTCTTTGTTGGAAGCTCAATTACACTAAACAGTCCGTGGCGACATCATGCAGCGCTAACCCCTCTGGCTACACCGACCTGCACAGACAGTAGTGACTGTTTTTTGTTTTTGTTCTGAAGGTGGTGGTGGTACTGGATGGGTGATGTGGTAGCTGTTACACTGGCCACTTTTACTTCTCATTACACGTTAATGCTATCCATGTGTCTCTGGATGGACACGGATGCAAAGCTCAGTTCAGTTACAAAATTTCGTCAGATGATGACTTTTCCATCCTTCGGCGAGGATGATATGATAAGTGGAAAGGGGGGGGGGGGAGGGGGTTATGCCAGACACTGTTAGCTAAGAGAGCTTAACACATTATTTTCAAGTTCTCATTTCTAAACTATTTCTATTTCAATACTTTTGCCAGGGATGATTTTCCAATCCTTCGGAGAGGGAGATATGACTGGGTGGAGGGGAGAGGGATGGGGGTTGAGGGTTATGACAGACACTGTTAGTTGAGAGCTACTGTCTTTCTTTTCCATTTCACTATTCGGGGCCACAGCAATGCATGGCAGGGCACAGCTAGTCCATTTATAACACTGGTAAAGAAAATCACCAGAAATGAGACAACTGCAGCGAGACCTCCCTACTATCAATCTCTTAGAAGACAGATGTAGAGACTTCTTCTCAACTACCCCACAACACATCCAGAAGAAAATCCAGAAAGCCAAAGTTGATGCCATAAAGAATGTGCAACCACTAACAAGGTGTTTTCTTTCTGTTAGCCTCAAACCAAGAAACAGTGTGTGCATGTGTGTGTATGTGCATGCATGCAAACACAGAAAAGACCAAGGTTCAGATGACGGATCAACATCATGACACAAGGGTAGTAGCCCATAAGTACTCTGTTCTACTTCTGACTCAAGTCTGAGTCCGCAGTGCACAAATTCTGTAGCACTGCCGAGGATTATGAATTCTTTGGGTAAATTTTCAACTTCAAATTTCGCCCAGGCAGCCCCTTTACACTTTTCTTTTTCAAATTCCAACCGCCTGGGCAGTAAAGCTTCAGGATATTGACAATTGTCTGCACTGGTCAACAAGGACAGAAAAGTCAGTCAACAGAAGGTAGCTGACCTCAGAGTGTCCCAGTTCTTGTCTTCTCGGAAAGTGATTGGCCAGTATCTGGTCCCCAACACCTGTATCTGTGAGGCAAGTATAAAAAGCAGCAATGAAAACAGAATCTAAAGGCAACAATGACAACATAATCTGAAGGTCACAGTGAAAAGGAGAATCTATGGGTCAATAACAATAACAGAGAATCTGAAGATAACAGTGAAAACAGAATCTATGGGTCTACAGTAAAGAGAGAGAAACTATGAGTCAAGAAGAAAGAGAGAGAAACTATGAGTCAAGAATAAAGATAGATCAGCTATGAGTCAAAAATAAAGATAGAGAAGCAATGAGTCAAGAATAAAGAAAGAGAAGCAATGAGTCAAGAATAAAGATAGAGAAGCAATGAGTCAGGAATAAAGACAGAGAAGCAATGAGTCAAGAATAAAGACAGAGAAGCAATGAGTCAAAAATAAAGACAGAGAAGCAATGAGTCAAGAATAAAGACAGAGAAGCAATGAGTCAAGAATAAAGACAGAAGCAATGAGTCAAGAATAAAGACAGAGAAGCAATGAGTCAAGAATAAAGACAGAGAAGTAATGAGTCAAGAATAAATACAGAGAAGCAATGAGTCAAGAATAAAGATAAAGAAGCTATGAGTCAAGAATAAATACAGAAGCAATGAGTCAAGAATAAAGACAGAAGCAATGAGTCAAGAATACAGGTAAATAAGCCATGGGTCAACAATACAGGTAAATAAGCCATGGGTCAACAATACAGATAGAGAAGTCATGAGTCAACAATACAGATAGAGAAGTCATGAGTCAACAATACAGATAGAGAAGTCATGGGTCAACAATACAGATGGAGAAGTCATGAGTCAACAATACAGATAGAGAAGTCATGAGTCAACAATACAGGTAAATAAGCTATGAGTCAACAATACAGGTAAATAAGCTATGAGTCAACAATACAGGTAAATAAGCTATGAGTCAACAATACAGGTAAATAAGACATGAGTCAACAATACAGGTAAATAAGCCATGGGTCAACAATACAGGTAAATAAGCCATGGGTCAACAATACAGATAGAGAAGTCATGAGTCAACAATACAGGTAAATAAGCTATGAGTCAACAATACGGGTAAATAAGCCATGGGTCAACAATACAGGTAAATAAGCCATGGGTCAACAATACAGGTAAATAAGCTATGAGTCAACAATACAGGTAAATAAGCCATGAGTCAACAATACAGGTAAATAAGCCATGGGTCAACAATACAGGTAAATAAGCTATGAGTCAACAATACAGGTAAATAAGCCATGCGTCAACAATACAGGTAAATACGCTATGAGTCAACAATACAGATAGAGAAGTCATGAGTCAACAATACAGATAGAGAAGTCATGAGTCAACAATACAGATAGAGAAGCTATGGGTCAACAATACAGATAGAGAAGCTATGAGTCAACAATACAGATAGAGAAGCTATGAGTCAACAATACAGGTAAAGAAGCTATGGGTCAACAATACAGATAGAGAAGTCATGAGTTAACAATACAGATAGAGAAGTCATGAGTTAACAATACAGATAGAGAAGCTATGGGTCAACAATACAGATAGAGAAGCTATGGGTCAACAATACAGATAGAGAAGCTATGAGTCAACAATACAGATAGAGAAGCTATGAGTCAACAATACAGATAGAGAAGCTATGAGTCAACAATACAGATAGAGAAGTCATGAGTCAACGATACAGATAGAGAAGTCATGAGTCAACAATACAGATAGAGAAGTCATGGGTCAACAATACAGATAGAGAAGCTATGGGTCAACAATACAGATAGAGAAGCTATGAGTCAACAATACAGATAGAGAAGCTATGAGTCACGAATAAAAATGGAGAATCTATCAGACAAGAATAAAGATAGAGAAGCTATAAGTCAACAATACATATAGAGAAGCTATGAGTGAAGAATACAGATAGAAAAGCTACTAGTGAAGAAAACACATGAAGACACTATAAGTCAAGAATAAAGACAGAGACATTATGAGTTGACAAAAAAAATAGAATCTATGAGTAAAAAATAAAGATAGAGAACATATTGGTCAAATAAAGACAGAATCTAATAAGTCAACAATAAAGAAAGAATATATGAGTCAACAAAAAGACAGAATCTATAAGTCAACAATAAAGACAGAGAAGCTATGAGTCAAGAATAAAGATAGAGAATCTATGAGCCAACAATAAAGACAGAATCTAGTAAGTCAACATTGATGACAGAGAATCTCTGAGCTGATAATGATAAAAAAGAATCTGAGTCAATAAAAACTGAGAATTTATGACCTAAAAGACTCACCTCTTCTAGCTTGCTCAGCTCCGGAACGATGTATGGAGCTCCAGCATTGAAGGAGACAGACTTGTAGGCTGGGCATCCCTGAAACAGCAGAGATAAGCTTGCCATCAATCATAGACAACATAGATCATTTAGCTAAACTGAATTAAGTGTTCCAAGTCATTGTGATCGACTTGAGTGAATTAAATGTTCCAAGTCACTGTGAAACTTGCAGTCAGTCACACACAAAGATAATCATTTGACTTGAGTAAATTAAATGTTCCAAGTCATTGTGAAACCTCCATCATTTTAAAACAAATCAAGAGACAAAGCCAGCGCATGGCATTTCCAGTCAACTTGAAGAGTGATCTGCATACTGTGTTGTGGTCTACAGCTAAGCTGTGAAATCTGAACCTTACAGCTGATCACATCTAATTTTATCAAAAATCTAAATTAGCTGCCTTTTCACCTGGGTAAAGATTCGACACAGCACTCAACACAAGATTATATTAGCTTTGTCTCCCCCCTCAACAGGCAGCGAAAGAGCCCCCATAGTGATGGTACCCATTGTCATATGGTTAACTACTTTCCTTCAAGTTTTGAGTGGCGCCTGTAGACACTTCCCACTGTATCTTCTTCTCCAGGTATATATGGGGGGGGGGGGGGGGGGGAGGGTTTGTGGTCTCGAGGCATGGCATCAGTGTCTCAAGTGCTAGAGGTTCCAGGTTCAATCCCCGGTTAGGGCTGGGATTTTTTTTGCTGGGATTTTTTTTCATGTGGACTTTGACTTCTAGTAATTTCCCCTGGTCTTTGGGTAGTGAGATCGGACGCCCGTGTGCATTGTTGCGCACGTAAACAATTTCTTGGCAGTTGAAAATTGAAAATAGTAGCCTAACGGCGCTGCCCAGGCAAAATTTGAAGTTAAAAATCTATCTAAAGTATTTCAGGATCCTCGCTGGTGCTACAGAGCCTGTGCACTGTGCTGAGCTTCTTCAGACTCAGACTTGAGTTAGATGAAAGAACGGAGCACTTATGGCTTACTACCCGTGTGCCATGATGTTGATCCATTGTTCAAACCTCAAATCCAGGTATATGTTTTCAATATCTTCCATTTTACTTGTTATCCTATCCCTCAGGTAAGAGAGATCATCTCTGCCTTGTGTCACTGCAGTATACCCCCCTAGTGGGTCCAGTCTAGTTGTCTTACATTTACTACAAGCCTGTTACTGGAAAGTAAGCAGGTCTAAGCTCTACTCTCCCCAAAACGGGGTCCTGGAACCCACAAGATGAACTGAAAATACTACGTCAGCCCATCAGTTAATCAGACACACTATGAATTTAACAAGTTTCCCATTTTACTGTCAAGACAGTTTTCTCTGTGGGTTTTAGAGACCCATTTTGGAGAACAAAGAATAAACTCACTGCATCCCGAACAAGCATGTCCTACGAGGAGACAAATAAAAGGTGTTTCCTTCAAGTTGGAGTGCACCTGCCAGAGAGCGCAGTGGCCGGCTGTAAATTCTGGTGGAAAGTTCCAGTTAGTCATCCACTTCTGAACTCCGGTCTTGTTAAATAACTTTAGTTTTGAATGCACAACTAATTTACATTCCAGATTTGGCTTCTTTTTTATAAACAGACCTGGTTTCTCACCTCTCAGACAGATGCACTCCAACTGTGAAGGAAACACTCCTAATTAGTCAACAACAAAGATGGCAGTAAGCAATATTTTCTAGCCTCAGCTAAACCTCACAAATGGTAGCATGACACTGTACCTTCTAGCCATATCTCTAATATTACAAAGACGGCAGGCAGTAAGCAATATTTTCTAGCCTCAGCTAAACATCACAAATGGTAGCATGACACTGTACCTTCTAGCCATGTCTGTAATATTACAAAGACGGCAGGCAGTAAGTAGTATTTTCTAGCCACACCTAAACCTCACAAATGGTAGCATGACACAGTACCTTCTAGCCATGTCTGTAATATTACAAAGACGGCAGGCAGTAAGCAGTATTTTCTAGCTACACCTAAACCTCACAAATGGTAGCATGACACTGTACCTTCTAGCCATGTCTGTAATATTACAAAGACGGCAGGCAGTAAGCAATATTTTCTAGCCATACCTAGACCTCACAAATGATAGCATGACACAGTACCTTCTAGCCATGTCTGTAATATTACAAAGACGGCAGAAAACAATATTTTCTAGCATACCTAGACCCAACAATGATGACAGGACACATTACCTTAAACTTGATGCGCAGAGGGACGAAGCAGAACCTGCCAGTGTCAACGTCTTTAGGGATGATAACTCTTGGCTCGCATGCCAGCACATACAGGTGTCTGAATGCCTGCAGATGGTACCTGGAGAAGAGCAGGATATAACTAGATGAGCATAATCATGTATCAGGTCCTTTGCCGAACGTCGCTCTCATCACAGTCTGCCTGAAAGAAACTCGGTTTCTCGCCACCTCTCCCACCTCATGTACTTTTATACTCAAGGAGTCACTTATATCCTGTGCCCATCTTCGTGTTGGTCGGCCTCTGCCCCTCCTTCCTGGTACCATGTCTTCAGCTATTATTTTTTCCAATACTTCGTGGCGCTTGATATGACAAAAATATTTCAGCTTCCGAGACAGGATGCTGTTTATTAGCCAATCTCCCTTGATGTTCAGATCTTTTAAGATGTCAGTATTTCTCCGCTTCTTTATCAAAGATATTCTGAGAATCTTTCTATAGCTTTAGGATGTAACAAACTTAAATCAGGATATAGCATAGGTGAACAATGAAGGTAATAACCTCAAGTCAGGATATAGCATAGTTGAGCAATGAAAGGTATTTAGCCTCTAGTCAGGATATAGCACAGGTGAGCAGTGTGACACATCAGTCAGGATATGATACGGGTGAGCAATGAGAGGTAATAACCTATAGTCAGTAAAGAAACGTTTTACACCATACAGGCGCATAGGTTTTTATTGACAAATCAATATCTGATGCGTCGTGTGTTTACCTCCTAGAACATATCCTGGTACCCATTTTAGGATGGGGTGACCTGGGAGGCAAGGTAATTTTGTTGTTGTTGTTAAATGCTTCAGTGCAGATTTTATGTCACAAACTTAGAACATTAGAGTTTACATTTAGATTATAGCATAGTTCACACATGTAAATTAGATTATAGAACAAGTCACACAGGTAAATTATTAGTCAGCACAAACATTTAAAAAAAAAAAAAGTAAAAGAATCTGCAGATCAGGAATATCATACTAAAAAGTGCTTTTAAAAACTGATGCCCATGTTCAAAAATATTTATATCACAGCTGTGGAATATAAATGGATGAATCTGTATGTTGATATTTACTTCATTTTCAAGGTTACAACAGACACACCCCCCCAGCATAACAAGAAATTAAAATGCATTTCTGCTTATTTAAGGTAAATAAATATACAATGATCCCTGCTAGACTGCCTTTTAACCCACTGACTACCAAGCCCATTAACCCTTGCATTTCCCCAGATACCACATATTTTAGTGTTTACTAAAAATGCCATAGCTTCACAACTATTTGATATAATCTCACAATATTTTGTATTTTTGCACCAAACTGAATGAAGAACAGATTTCAAGAAAAAAAAGTTGTTTATTTTGTTTTGCATCATCATCATGTGGCTGTAGATTGGTGCAAAAAAGGCAACCGGAAAATCTTTTGTCTGACAACAATAAAGACAAATAAAAATGTCTTATTTTCAAAAAATATTTAACAAAAATGTATAATATTTTGTATTTTTGCACAAAATTAAACCAAGAACACATTTAAAGAAAAAAACAATAAGGTTTACTCTGACATAGTCATCATCATCATGTGGCTGTAGATTGTTGCAAAAAAGGCAACTGAAAATCATTTATCTGACAACAATAAAGACTGATAGTGATGATTTTTTTCCCACAAATTTTCAACAAACATATATAATATTTTGTATTTTTGCACAAAATTGAACCGAGAACAATGTGAAGACAAAAAATGGGGTTTACTTTGTCTGACATAATCATCATCATGTGGCTGCAGATTGTTGCAAAAAAGGCGACTGAAAAATCCTTTGTCTGACAATAATTCAGACTCCCAAAAAATGTCACAGCTTCACAACTGTTCAATATTACTTATCCTATCTGATATTGTTTGCACAAAATTAAAAAGATAACAAATATCAAGACAAATGTAGATTTACTGTTTTATATCATCATCATGTGGCTGTAGATATGGTGCAAAAAAGGCAACTGAAAAATCCTTTGTCTGACAATAATTCAGACTCCCAAAAAATGTCACAGCTTCACAACTGTTCAATATCACTTATCCTATCTGACATTGTTTGCACAAAATTAAAAAGATAACAAATATCAAGACAAATGTAGATTTACTGTTTTATATCATCATCATGTGGCTGTAGATATGGTGCAAAAAAGGCAACTGAAAAATCCTTTGTCTGACAATAATTCAGACTCCCAAAGAATGTCACAGCTTCACAACTGTTCAATATCACTTATCCTATCTGATATTGTTTGCACAAAATTAAAAAGATAACAAATATCAAGACAAATGTAGATTTACTGTTTTATATCATCATCATATGGCTGTAGATATGGTGCAAAAAAGGCAACAGAAAAATATGTTATCTGACAGCAATATATAGAAAACGCCCCCGTGACATGATGGTGGCAGCAAATGATGAGTGGAGAGATGGATATACACTCTGGTAGTCTGAAATAGCTTTTTCACAACACATGTGACACAACAGTACAAGAAACCCTGTCACTTCATTAGGGGTTGTGTGTTTCCAGTTCCAGCACTAATCTTTGTCTCAGCATAACGGTTTGTTTCTTTAGCAAACACAGCAAGTATGTCTTTACTGAAGAAAATATCCAGTGGTTCATTTGTTCCTTCTGGCAGAAATAAAACAGAAGTGCCAGTAAATGGGGGTACTCCAGGAAAGCCTTCTAAATCACAATGCCAGTCATCAACCATTTGGGGGCGTGGCACATCTTCTCCGGACTCGTTAGATGATGATGATTCTGAATCAAAAGCAGCAATGATATTTTCGTCATGTGCAGACTCAAGCACAAAATCTTTATAATCTGTGGGCTTTGACTGAATACTCTTACAAGAACTATCAGCATCCTAACCTGAGGCACCAGTACTTGCAGCCGACAACACTGTGACTGTCTTTGTCAGACTTGACTTCGAAGCGTCATACTGTCGTTTTACAGTCGACGATGTTTTGAATGGCACTTCGTTAAATTTATTATAGTCATAGCCATCAAACTGTTCAGAAGTGTCTTCAAATGCACTTTTTGAAACAAAAATCAAGAAAATCGAATGCATCATTAGAAAAATTAGGAGAGATATGGCCACCACGATGGTTCCGATAATTTGACGCCATGATGAATTTTTCGTCAATGTCTCACCGTCATGGGAGCTAACTAAAAAAATTCGTAAAATATTTACTTCAAGCACTATGGGGTTATTTCCCTTAATTAACCTTACAGAAATAAATAAGCTAGAGGTTTCAACTAAATCCATCATAAAAATCGCGATTTTAACATGACGGCGAGCGTCCAAAGCTAAAATCGCAAAGGGTGTGACGTTGGCAGATAGAAGTAAACGTCGCCTCGTCGCATTACGTGCGATGTTGGTAGTCAGTGGGTTAAGAGTTATACAGCACAACGTTCAAATGTAACCAATCGACCAATCACAAAAAAGACATCAATCTCGTGTTTAAAACCTACATTCTGAATAAGACCACGACTGTTGTGCTAAAAGCATCAATCAATCATTCTAATGACGCAGGTACTGATAAATATGTTTTATCACCCAACTAAAATTAAAGAAGTGACAAAAATAACAAAGAAAATGACTTTTTCGATAAAACTGGTCAGTCTATATATTATTTATGCACAAAACGATTAACACTGAGATGAAAATAGCTTATGCAAAAAAAAAAAAAATAATAATAATAATTAGCGAAAATACAATGGCACAAATTAGGAAACGCACTATAGAATCATATTCGTTCCAGCACTAATCTTTGTCTCAGCATAACGGTTTGTTTCTTTAGCAAACACAGCAAGTATGTCTTTACTGAAGAAAATATCCAGTGGTTCATTTGTTCCTTCTGGCAGAAATAAAACAGAAGTGCCAGTAAATGGGGGTACTCCAGGAAAGCCTTCTAAATCACAATGCCAGTCATCAACCATTTGGGGGCGTGGCACATCTTCTCCGGACTCGTTAGATGATGATGATTCTGAATCAAAAGCAGCAATGATATTTTCGTCATGTGCAGACTCAAGCACAAAATCTTTATAATCTGTGGGCTTTGACTGAATACTCTTACAAGAACTATCAGCATCCTAACCTGAGGCACCAGTACTTGCAGCCGACAACACTGTGACTGTCTTTGTCAGACTTGACTTCGAAGCGTCATACTGTCGTTTTACAGTCGACGATGTTTTGAATGGCACTTCGTTAAATTTATTATAGTCATAGCCATCAAACTGTTCAGAAGTGTCTTCAAATGCACTTTTTGAAACAAAATCAAGAAAATCGAATGCATCATTAGAAAAATTAGGAGAGATATGGCCACCACGATGGTTCCGATAATTTGACGCCATGATGAATTTTTCGTCAATGTCTCACCGTCATGGGAGCTAACTAAAAAAATTCGTAAAATATTTACTTCAAGCACTATGGGGTTATTTCCCTTAATTAACCTTACAGAAATAAATAAGCTAGAGGTTTCAACTAAATCCATCATAAAAATCGCGATTTTAACATGACGGCGAGCGTCCAAAGCTAAAATCGCAAAGGGTGTGACGTTGGCAGATAGAAGTAAACGTCGCCTCGTCGCATTACGTGCGATGTTGGTAGTCAGTGGGTTAAGAGTTATACAGCACAACGTTCAAATGTAACCAATCGACCAATCACAAAAAAGACATCAATCTCGTGTTTAAAACCTACATTCTGAATAAGACCACGACTGTTGTGCTAAAAGCATCAATCAATCATTCTAATGACGCAGGTACTGATAAATATGTTTTATCACCCAACTAAAATTAAAGAAGTGACAAAAATAACAAAGAAAATGACTTTTTCGATAAAACTGTCAGTCTATATATTATTTATGCACAAAACGATTAACACTGAGATGAAAATAGCTTATGCAAAAAAAAAAAAAATAATAATAATAATTAGCGAAAATACAATGGCACAAATTAGGAAACGCACTATAGAATCATATTCTTGCACAAAATAAGCTTTTCTTATTCCCCGTGTTCGTTCCAAGGCCCCATTGTGGGGGGAACAGACTAGACTCACTGCTCCTATCATGAAAGGCATCTAATTAAGGGTGTTTCTTTTGAAGTCAGAGTGCATTTGCCTGAGAGGCAAGGAACCAAAAGTCTGCCAACAAACAAGCCAGATCTGTAAAATGGATGTGCATGCAAATAGGAAGTTATGGGGAAAAGATCGAAGTCCAGAAGTGGACCAACAAAAAGGACTTTCTGACGGAGTTTCCAACAATGAATGAAAATAACAGTTGTAACATGTCCCTTTTAACTACACCACAACATATCAGTGACAACTATGGCTGCAACATAAAGCCAGTGATGATAACTACAACCGGCACCAATAATGAGAGTCACCCCATCTCGTCAGTGGGTAAGATTTCATGCCGGCTCCCATTCATGTCATGTCAGTTCCCACGGGCTGTCCTATGTTGTAGGGGGCATTGCGACATGGCTTGCTTCGCTGTGTGTACACATTGTGTCGAAAAGCGGCTGCTGCAGGTTTGTTTTCGCAACTCTTGTTTTGTGTGAATGGTAGGTCTCAGGCACATTTAGTGCCTGTGTATGAGGAGGAAGCACTGTAGGATGAATCACTGAAGGCACGGTGCTTCGTGAGGAGCAAATCATTGTTTTTTTTAAAAATATTATTACCCTCACTGGAAGTGGCTGACATCGCTAGTGGATCTGCTTGAAACGGCCAAAATGAGGAACACACAACACCCCTATAGTGTCCCAGGAAATACCCCACGAAATCATGCTGCTAACGAGATGGGGTGACTTTTGTGATTTGTACCCTACAACTTACTTATTGTCAGTGCTAGACTGAGGAAACTGAGGGTAGAAAGCACACAACATGGCTCCAATGGCGTCTGGTGTGGTTTTCAGTGTGAACCTTGGTTTGAAGACAGGAGAATGACAAACGTTACTTAAAACAGTTTTTGTTTAATCATTTATCAACCATATTCTCTTGGTTTCTTCAATCACCCTCTCAGACTTTATCTAGACTTTTCTAGTAGGTCATTCTTCTCCCTTCAGTCTCATTCTGTCCCTCTCATGCTCTCTCTCCAAGGATCAGCTAGCTAGGTGGTTAAAAATATCTGGCTCACCTTGGAAGATCCAGGTTCAATCCTTGGTAAGGCAATGGATTCTTTTCCATTCAGACAAAACAATAAAGAATTCAGTCTCACTCTCTTTCTCCAAGCAGCAGCCGGCCAGGTGGCTAATACTGATGGGCTTTCATCTGCTAGATCCAGGTTCCATCCGTGGTAAGGCCATTAATTTCTTAATCTGTCTGGGGCCTAAATGAAATCCTAACCTAAACAGTTGATGGTGACTGTATTAGCCATGTGGCCCTAAATCCTTCGGCTCATGGTTACTCTAAATGCAACAAGTAAGAAGTTTTTTGTTGGGGTTCTCTGGTTCTCTGCCTAATTTGGATCCTTTAAATTTAAAGTCTCTCTTCTCTCTCTCTCTCTCTCACTTTCTCTTTCACCTGGGCGCAGAAAAATTCATCCAATGATAGTACCTTTAACTGGAATGTCACTGCAGGGATGTTTGTTAGCAGCAACAAAGTCTAAGTTATTAGTTGGAAAGAGGAAAGACAACATCAGAGAACAATAGCATGATGTGTCCATGGCCAAGGCAGCCAGAATAGCAAGAAGCAGATCCTCAGATTTCCCTCGACATACTAAGGAGTAAAATAGAAGGTGAAGAAGGCAAAGTCTCAGTGTTCAAATGACATTTTCTTGAAACAATTATTTAGAACTTTAGTGACTTTAAACACAGACAAATGATGAGAATACCCTGGACAGATACAAAGAATAATGAAGACATCTTGAAAGAAACTGACTCATGAAGAAAACTGATTGCCCATATCAGAAAGAGACAATCTACATACTTTGGTCATGTGATGAAAAGAAAACTGGAGTTATCGTGACGGTAGGAAAGTTGGAGGGGAGGAGCAGAGGGAGACCGAGAAAACAGATGCTGGACAGTTTGACATCATGGCATGGAGAATCATTTGTGTCAGAGTTGATTTAAAGTACACAAGACAGAAGGTTGTGGATAGACATGACTACCAACACCACACAGCATGGACTTTAAAAAAGAGAAGCACAGCAGCGTTTAGCACTCTGGTGACTCTGGCGCAGTGCCAAGTTATGTCTCAGCAGAAGATAAAAAAGTTTTTTTTTTTTTTTAGTAAAGATACATTTTCACGCCCTTAGGCGCATCAGGCATATGGGAAGAGCACCCATATTTTTACAGACCAATCGGCACTAGGTGGGTAATGTGGTCAGCATTATTCCGGCTGTCTTTACTTCCCCAGGGTATACATCCTAGTACCCATTTAAGGCTGGGTCGACCTGAGCAGAATACAAACCAAACTATAAATATAGTGGGGTTATTTGTTGGCACATCTTATAACTGCCTTATGCATTTTAACTCTGCATGTGCAGCTTCAGGATTTGGCAGGGACTGACAAGTTTCTCACTAGCTTTCAAATGGGACTGTCATCATAAACTAATTCTGCCGAGTCATGGGAAGGAATAATTTGTGACCCAGTGTATGCTGGCTGGCGCTGGCCACTGTCTCATGCTGTGGACATAAAGGGTATTTAATGTTATCAATCTATATTTCTTGTGGCTGTCCTCTTGCTCTTGTACCTGATCTTCTGAGATGTAGTGCCTGTGATAGTATCTGATGTTTCTTCATTCTACCCAGATAGGACAGTGAAGGACAGTTTGTATGATTTCAATAGAAAGATATAAAACCGAACGAAAAGTATATCAGCGAGCTTCATAATATAACAAACAAAACGTGAACATTGCAGCTATGGAGCCTTATTCAGCACATACATAGAATAAACAATACTACACAAATACACAGTATCACTTATCTTCAAATCTCATAGCAGCCAGGTCGATGTCAAGACAATTGTCTGACAAGGCAGAGAAAATTGATACTCGGGGGTATGCCAGGGGCCGTCACTCAAGCATAAGAGAAAACTGTGTAAGCAGTTCAGGCCACTAGGATGCTGTATGATTTCTACTGGCACAGGAATGGATCAGTTATGTCAGCAACCTGTCTGCAATGATGCTGGAACCTAAACTAACTGACATACACTTAATGGCATCACTCACTTGCCACCTCCTAGAAATAGCAGCCCTGTCGCCATGGCTGTACACATGTGGTTGCCGTAGGTAAACTGGTGGTACTGAGGACCCACTCTCCTTCGCAGAGCTCGACAAATCCTCAGTGTGACCAGATCACCAGTGCCTGCCATCACCTGAACAAAGAGTCATGAATGTTTAAAAAAAATTTAAAAAACGTAAACTACTTAACTCTTTCAATCTTTCAGTCCAAGGCTTGTATCACTTAAACTCACAGATTCCTAAGTTATATGCTGCCTCAGAACATCGCTCTCTTCATGGCAAGCCTGAAAGTATCTCTTTCCCTAGCCAGCTCTTCAGCCCCATGTGCTTTCAATGCCAATGCTTCTTCAATGTCCTATGTTGCTTACACTAATTAATATTTAGATCCAGGAGAGTTGAACTATTAATGCTCAGAATGTGCCCAATATATCGCCATCCTTTTTATCTCACAGTTCAGATATTTATCTGATTTCTTGGCTGTTCTTGGAGTCATCCTATTTAATATATTTCTCAGTAACACTTGGAATACCATGTGTTTCTATTACAGTTTGATGGGTAACAAAGTGTTTAGAAAAGTAAAAGCAAAAAGAATTAACAAGTAAATAACACATGGTGAACTAATTGGTACTGAAAGAATTAATCTATGTGATGGATATCATAGGTCAAACAAATCACTAACACAGTCTAATACTTAATACAGGTTAGATATTGCGAGGGCTCTTTGGGAAAATGGGGACTGAGCACTTATGGGAGTTTACCGAGTGCTGTGATGTTAATTCTTTATTCAACATCTGAACTCTTTTCTGTTAAAAGCAACACTCAATGTATTATTAGTTCCTAATCATGAGTAATAAACATTGCATGGTCTGTGTTTATTTGATCTACAATTCCCCTAAGCATCATTAAAAAAAAGTATACTACCTGTTTAGAACATAATGAACTGGGTTTGCGTATGCTGGATATTATCCCATGACCACCCCCCCCCCCCCCCGAAAAAAAAAAAAAAAAACTATGTAAACCTGACAGTACTCCCTGACATAAAAATCATGACAGTCCTCCTCGATATACAAAACCTGACAGTCCTCCTTGACATATAAAACCTGGCAGTACTCCCCGACATACAAAACCTGACAGTACTCCCTGACATACAAAACCCGACATACCAAACCTGACAGTACTCCCCAACATAAAAACCTGACAGTACTCCCCAACATAAAAACCTGACGGTACTCCCCAACATAAAAACCTGACAGTACTCCCCGACGTACAAAACCTGACAGTACTCCCCGACGTACAAAACCTGACAGTACTCCCCGACGTATAAAACCTGACAGTACTCCCCGACGTACAAAACCTGACAGTACTCCCCGACGTACAAAACCTGACAGTACTCCCCGACGTACAAAACCTGACAGTGCTCCCCGACGTACAAAACCTGACAGTACTCCCCGACGTACAAAACCTGACAGTACTCCCCGACGTACAAAACCTGACAGTACTCCCCGACGTACAAAACCTGACAGTACTCCCCGACGTACAAAACCTGACAGTACTCCCCGACATACAAAACCTGACAGTACTCTCCGACATACAAAACCTGACAGTACTACCCGACATACAAAACCTGACAGAACTCCCCGACATACAAAACCTGACAGTACTCCCCGACATACCAAACCTGACAGTACTCCCTGACATACAAAACCCGACATACCAAACCTGACAGTACTCCCCGACATACAAAACCTGACAGTACTCCCCGACATACAAAACCTGACAGTACTCCCTGACATACAAAACCCGACACACCAAACCTGACATACAAAACCTGACAGTGCTCCCCGACATACAAAAATGAAACCCCAACACTATCCTTGACCAGGACTTTTTTCTGACAGTATGCAGTACTTTTTAATCTGAAAGAAATAAAACACGTCCTGCCACTGACAAATAATGTAACCCAAACAGTACCAAACACGACAAAGGATGTAACCCCTAACAGTGTCTCCTTGTTTAAAAAGGAAAAAGTAACCCCAAGAGCACCCATGGCAAAAAATAGCAGCAACAATTACAAACAAACAGCTAGCCCCAATAATCACAAACAAACAGCTAGCCCCAACAATCACAAACAAACAGCTAGCCCCAACAATCACAAACAAACAGCTAGCCCCAACAATCACAAACAAACAGCTAGCCCCAACAACCACAAACAAACAGCTTACAATAGCCAGAGCTAGCAACTTGACACTGATGCAGTTCTCCACAGTTGACCTGCCAGCTTGGTCCAGCAGTGCCTGGTCTCTCAGCAGCTTCACTGAAGATCCCAGGCTATTGAGCTGTGAACAAAATGTCACTTTCTTCACTTGTGTGTGTGCATGCGTGTGTGTGTGTGTGTGTGTAGGTACATCAAATGCTGTAACTCTTGCCTCTTGAGTTGTTAAGTTCACGTATCAATGCAGAATAACTGTCATAAATCTGACAAATCTGAAGAAATACAAAGAAAGAAATGATGCTGTTCAACAGTGGTGGGTGTCGCTGACGCAGTCACAACTGACAAAGATCAGTTTCATGCCAGGGCACACAGGCATACAAGAAAATAAGCAGGCTCATATATTGTATGCACCGAAAAAAGTAATGCGCTATTGTAATGAGTAATTGTTTTCACTGTTAATTAAAGTTCTCATCTTCTGTAAATGAGGTTAAATACTAAGCATAAATTATGTGCTTGAATTAGCTTGAATGATACTGAGTATGAAGTATAATGTATGCATGAACAGATCATGTCACGAATAACTCGAAACAAGCATGCAAGTTGGCGTGCCAGATGAGAAAAGCATGAATCATGTGCCCCAACAATCACAGGTTTGAGAACCAGAGAATGATCATCATCATGTCGCAGGTCCTTTGCAGAATGTCGCTCTCATCACGGTCTGCCTGAAAGAAATTTGGTCTCTCGCCAGCTCTCCCGCCTCATGTACTTTCATACTCAAGGAGTCACTTATATCCTGTGCCCATCTTCGTGTTAGTCGGCCTCTGTCCCTCCTTCCTGGTACCATGCCTTCTGCTATTAATTTTTTCCAATCCATCCTGGCGCTTGATATGATGAAAATATTTCAGCTTCTGAGACAGGATGTTGTTTATTAGCCAATCTTCCTTGATGTTCAGATCTTTCGAAATGTCTGTCAGTATTTCTCTTCTTCTTTGTCCAAGATATTCTGAGAATTTTTCTATAGCATTTCAGCTTAAAAGCCCCTATCTGTTTTATATCTGCCCCAGAACCAGCTAGTATATCTGTTCTATATCTTCCCCAGAACCAGCTAGTATATCTGTTCTATATCTGCCCCAGAACCAGCTAGTATATCTGTTCTATATCTTCCCCAGAACCAGCTAGTGTATCTGTTCTATATCTGCCCCAGAACCAGCTAGTATATCAGTTCTATATCTGCCCCAGAACCAGCTAGTATATCTGTTCTATATCTGCCCCAGAACCAGCTAGTGTATCTGTTCTATATCTGCCCCAGAACCAGCTAGTATATCTGTTCTATATCTGCCCCAGAACCAGCTAGTGTATCTGTTCTATATCTGCCCCAGAACCAGCTAGTGTATCTGTTCTATATCTGCCCCAGAACCAGCTAGTATATCAGTTTTATATCTGCCCCAGAACCAGCTAGTGTATTTGTTCTATATCTGCCCTAGAAACAGCTAGTGTATCTGTTGTACATCTCCAGTAAAGTATATCTATCTACCCATGACCTAGAACATTGACACATCCCCGCCCCACCTTTGCATTACCACAGTTGACAGAAACTCACAAACCAACAGAGAGGCAACACACCAGAGTTTTGAAGGCTTCTCTGTTGGCCGATCCAGCAAACTTGAGTGCCATGACCATGCAGGCTCCGCTGGTGATGTTGCAATGTGCCTGGCTGCAACAATCAGAAGGAAAAACAACAAAATGTGACCAAAGCAATTTTGCAGATACCGCAAATCTTACTTTCTTTTGTCAATTTATGTCCTGTGCAAACTTTGAATATCTAGGCTCTATAATAAATAGCAATGGAGACTGTTTGACAGAAATTAAAAGGAGGATAGCCATAGCAATGCAAAGATTAAACAGCACTAAAAGTCTATATTTAAGCACCAGTAAGGAGATGAAAATTAGAATTTTGAGCTACACACGGATGTGAGTCGTGGACTATCTCCCAGTCATTGTGAGTTGTGGATTATCTCCCAGTCCTTAAGAAAAAGAATATGGGCTTTTGAGCTGAAATGCTTTAGAAAGATTGTCAGAATATCTTGGACAAAGAAGAGGAGAAATACTGACATCTCAAAAGATCTGAACATCAAGGAAGATTGGCTAATAAACAGCATCCTGTCTCGGATGCTGAAATATTTTGGTAATATCAAGCCCCCACGACTGACTAGAAAAAATAATAGCAGAAGGCATGGTACCAGGAAGGAGGGGCAGGAGCCGACCAACACGAAGATGGGCACAGGATATAAGCAACTCCTTGAGTATGAAAGTACATGAGACCGAGTTTCTTTCAGACAGACCATGATGAGAGTGACGTTCTGCAAAGGACTTGCTACATGATGATACCGTTAGGCATTGTAATTTAACAAAGGTTGGGCAGCTGAGCCAAGGCATGCTCATCTGCTAAGTGTGGTTGTGATGTTATGAGATCTTAATCCTGTAGTCCAGGGAGGCCACATATAATGAATATAACCTAACTGGGGTCATGGATATAAACTGTGGGTTATGGATATAAACTAACTAGGGGATTATAGATACAAACTAACTGTAGGTCAAGGATCTAAACTAACTGTGGGTCAAGGATATAATCTAACTGTAGGTCATGGATGTAACCAAACTGTGGGTCATGGACATAAACTAAATGTTGGTCATGGATGTAATCCAACTGTGGGTCATGGATGTAATCAAACTGTGGGTCATGGATTTAGGTTACAAGTAACCAGGTGAGATCACTCACCTCATAGTTTGCAGGTCTATGGATGAATCCAGGTCATCATCTCCATTCTGCGGAGGCTTGTAAAAGGCATATTTCTGGACAATCTGAAACAATTGGGAAAGGTGATTCATAATTAACCTGAAATAGTGATACAGGTGAGGAAGCAAGACAGGTTATCAGATATACAGGTGAGATAATGAGAAACAGTATCAGAAATAAGGTGAGGTGTGGCAAGGAGAGAAGCTATCACATTTAAATGTGAAATAAGTGACACAGTGACAGACCGCATCACAAAGGGAGGGAAGGGAGAAAGAGATAAAGCGAGAGAGAAAAAGAGGAGAGAGAGAGAAAAAGGATGAGAGTAAGACAAATGATGAGAGAGAAAGACAAATGATGAGAGAGAAAGACAAATGACGAGAGAGAAAGACAAATGATGAGAGAGAAAGAAAAAGGATGAGAAAGAAAGACAAATGATGAGAGAGAAAGAAAAAGGATGAGAAAGAAAGACCAATGATGAGAGAGAAAGACAAATGATGAGAGAGAAAGAAAAAGGATGAGAGAGAAAGACAAATGAGAGAGAAAGAAAAAGCATGAGAGAGAAAGACAAATGATGAGAGAGAAAGACAAATGATGAGAGAGAAAGAAAAAAGGATGAGAGAGAAAAACAAATGATGAGAGAGAAAGACAAAGGATGAGAGAGAAAGAAAAAAGGATGAGAGAGAAAGACAAATGATGTGAGAGAAAGAAAAAGGATGAGAGAGAAAGAAAAAGGATGAGAGAGAAAGAAAAAGAACAGAGTTACAAATGATGCAGTCTTTGGCTACCTTTTACTCTCTAATATTCTTTTTGGTGTTCACGGGCTGTAAACTCCGGCAGAAAGTTCTGGTTGTTTCTCCACTTCTGGATTTTGGTCTTGTTCCAGAACTTGAGTTTGTATGCACATCCATTTTACAGATAGGTCTTAGTTGTGTGCAGACTGTTGATTCTTTGTCTCTCAGGCAGATGCACTCCAACTTCTAAGAAAACATCCTTAGTCAACTATTCTAACATGCTTGTTGTAAGGGTCGGGGGGGGGGGGGGTTGATCCCCTCCACACACACACACACATAATGGGTCCCCGGAACTTACACGGGGAGTCCTCTAATAAAGCAAAGGTCCTTAACCAATTTCTGCAAAGTCTGTTTAGACTTGGTCACGGTTGGCTTTTGGGGCTGATGATTTGTGGGAAGGGACAGTCAACCTCAAGCGTCATGAATGAAGGAATGGACATCACTGCGCTCAGGACACACCTACCCATGCTCTAGCCTCCTCCTAAGCAGCAAACGAAGAGCTGACATGCTAACAGAACCAGCTGCAACCTGACTAAAAGTTTGCCTCTCTTTCCCCTTCAGTGCTGAATATATTCCAAAACCTCTACAACCTCCCCCCCCCCCCCCCCCCCCCCCCCCCCCATTTTTTTCCCCCATTGAATTATTCTTTCAGTGTATGGATTCCCTATCTGTTCTACTGCACTATTCGTTTAATCCTATACAGCTTTCACCATATCTGCTTTATCACATAATAGCTGACCGCCTAGAGGAGTGACAGCAGCTAATCTACAGCCTGCACGTTCCAGATCGTCCTGGACAGAAAATCCATGACATGCTTGGTCTGGGTCGTATCAAGGGACATAAGCCACTCTGCGTACACATAAGCACACCAGTTTAAATTTTACGAAGCATGCTCTGTGAGTAACCTCACGCCTCATTCTAACCTTAAGCCAGATCTGTAAAACGGATGTGCACACAAAACTCAAGCTCTGGAATGAAACTTAAAAAAGAAAGAGGATAAACAACCATAACTTTCTGCCAGAGTTGACAGCCAGTGAACACGAAGAAATTTTGGCTCTTAGAGGCCTCCAAAAACATTTCTAAAAGGCTGCATTTTAGTAGTTTTTATATCCTCTACATCCTACGGTGGGTTCCGGGGCCCAATTATAGGGAGAACAAGAATAGACCCACTACCTACCCAAAAGCATGTCGTAAGAGTCAACTAATTGGGAGCTTCCTTTAAAGTTGGAGTGCATCTGCCTGAGAGGCAAGGAACCAGCAGTCTGCATACAAATGAGTCAGATCTGTAAAACGGATGCACACGCAACACTTAGGTTCTGGTACAGGACTGCAGTCCAGGAGTGGATGAACAACCAGAACTTTCCGCCAGAGTGTACAGCTGGTGAATACAAAGAAGAAGATATATAGGCATTTAAGAATTCTACTTTAACTCTTTTGGTCCCATAAGGTGATGTCAAAAATCAATCATTTTTTTTTAAAGTTTTTTTTTTCAATATTGCCACAAAAATTCAAACCACTTGCAGTGTTGCAGAACGAAAAAGGACTGAAAGATACATCTGTGGCTGCCATATTTATTTAGTATACACTGATCAAAAGTTAAAAATAAGAAGAAACTTGATGGGATGTTTCACATATGTTGGGAATAAGTCTGTAATACATCACGCCTTGTCTGGGACGAAGCAGTAATGTCCGATATAACCGAGCAGGGAAAGGAAGGGGAAGTTTTACTGTGAGGTCAGGCATAACTTACCTCAGGAATATTACTGCTGATCCAAGCACACGTGGGCAGCACTGTCTCCCAGTTGACTAGGCCATAGCTGATTGTCTGATCAAGAAAAAAAAAAGATACTTTCCATTATCCCAGCGTTAAGACTAACAGTTTTCTTGTTTCTATAATAAGTATGGGGGGGCTGAGTGATCTTGAGGTTTGGCATCCGCCTCGAGTGCTGGAGGTCCAGGGTTCAAGACCCGGTGAACGCTGGTATTTATTTTCACCTGGACTTCTAGTAATTTTCCCTGGTTTCTGAATAGTAAGACCGGACACCCGTGTGTATTGTTGCACACGTTAAAAAATCCCTTGGCAGTTGGAAATCGAAAAAGAGTAGCCTAATGGTGCTGCCTGGGCAAAATTTGGAGTTAAAAATAAAACTAAAGTATTTTCAGGATCCTTGCTGGTGCAACAAAGTTCGTGCACTGTGCTGATACTCTTCAAACTCAGGTTTGAGAAGCAGAACGGAACCCTTATGGGTTGCACCCGTGTGCCATATTGTTGATCCGTTAAATAAATAAATAAAAGTAGTAAGTATTTTAGCCGTTTCCTCAGTCATAATGTAACTATCCGTGGTTTATTAACCCTCTTAGCACGGACGGGCCGATTATCGGCCGGCGGTTGTCTGGCCAAAAACACGGAACGGCCGATGATCGGCCCGATCGTGTTTCGCCTCGAACCGCTAAGAAATCTCCTACTTTGAAACACTGAAAGTGATTCATTTATATTAACTGCGGTATCAGCTTTACACATGGCGACTTTCGAGTGTTTGGTATCGAAGTGAAAATTGTTGTTGAATTTTTTAGATAGTGACCTGAACCGCTAAAAGTATGTCTGACTCGTATGTTTCTGCCCATAAACTTGATGTTGATAAAACATTTGAATCAAGTGATTACACTAATTATGTTGATACTGATGCAGGATTTAGTGTTAGTAGTAATAGTGGGAATCAGATGGGGACGCTGTTGTGTTCAGACTATAGCCCAATCATGGCTCAGGGTATATCCACCCGAAGGTGTTGACACTCCGGCACATCCATTTCTAGTGCTGACTGATGGTGAAAAACACATGTCACCTAAAGATATTATTGCTGTTTCACATATATATACCTGTTTTTGACTATTGAATTGCTTACAACATTTGCAAAAAGGCCAAGGATCAATAAAAAGATTTCAAATAAAAAAAATTTTTGTTTTTAGTTTTATGTTTCAAGCATTGAAGTTGAAAATTCAAATTCATATTTTCTATTTTTAGATATGCAAATGAGATAATTTGCATATACATCAATTAATTTTAACGATATTGTGAAAATCACGAACTTCAATCTATATCCTTCAAATAGATATATTATTTCATAGGGGTCAGAATAACAGAAATCTGTAAAAAAAATTAAATAAAGTAATAACCAAATTAACTGAAAAAATGCTCCGTGTTTTTGGCTAGACCTCTGAAAAACTTCCCGTGCTAAAAGGGTTAAACACATGAGCACTATCATGTGCCACTTAGTGTGACGACTGAAAACAGTTTTGTGATGGTTTACTATTCTTCTTTGGCTCCCTGTATGGTGTTCAACTCTGGCAACATCTCTTTTTGACAGAAGGTTCTTGAAGTCTTGTCAAGGTTGTAGATTCATCATCTCCTTTTGCCTTCTTGACGGCACTGTAAGCACTGGTCTGGTCCACCGCTTTTCTGTGCCTACCGTGATCCTATCAGCAAGCCAGTCAGCTCGTTCAATTCCTCTTGCCCCAGAATGTCTTGGCAGAAAAACCGAACTAGTTCCTGTCAGACAAGATTTCTTCAGAGACTCCAATCATTTTATTAGAATCCATTTTGTCTGGATATTCTTAAGTATGTTCAAGGAATCAAAAAAGCACACAAGAAAAAAAGTATGTCTTTACCCAGGTCACTGCTTTTGTTACCATCATCACTTCCATAGTCAGACTACTTGAATGTTGAATTAAGAATCGACATCACAGCACTCGGGACACCCCCATAAGCACTCCGTCCCTATATTGAGCCTCTAGTAAAGAGTTAAAATTCCGAAGATACCAGTAAATGTCTGATTGTATATCAGTCTCCCCTTTCCCCTGAATGATGAGCGTCGGCCAGATCCCCTTGTAACTCCTCGCAGTGCCATTCTCCTTAGACCGTAATTGTCTATCTGTGCCGCAGCACTGTTCACTCGCTCCCAAAGAGCCCAAAGTCAGACTTCTTGTAATCAAGGTAAATGCACAACTATCTTCCTTTACACTTTTCCCTGCAACAATACACATGGAAGCCAATAAAGTCTGCACATGTGAAACTTTTACAAGTGACTAACCTCCATGGAAGCCAATAAAGTCTGCACATGTGAAACTTTTACAAGTGACTAACCTCCATGGAAGCCAATAAAGTCTGCACATGTGGAACTTTTACAAGTGACTAACCTCCATGGAAGCCAATAAAGTCTGCACATGTGAAACTTTTACAAGTGACTAACCTCCATGGAAGCCAATAAAGTCTGCACATGTGAAACTTTTACAAGTGACTAACCTAACACACACAGGCCGAGACTGTCAGAGAGTATCTTACCCTGAGGCACAGGAAGTCTGGTCTGACCTGGTCTAACATAAACTGTGTGTCTGGAGCCTTCAGTCGCTCGGATACAGCACTAGGACAAATAAATATATGCAATGTCAGTCTCAGGGACAATGCACGGATACAAGAAATAATGCTGAGTCTTAGGAATGTTGAATTTTAAATTGAGAATTGACATCACAGCATTAGGGACACTCCCCTAAGTGCTCAGTCTCCATCTTCAGCAGCAAGCGAAGGGTTCCAATTCCGATAGTAGCAGTAACCGTCTGATCTCATTCTTCCCCTGAGTGTTGGGCGTCGGCCAGATCCCCTAGTAACTCCTTGCAGGGCCATTCTCATTAGACCGTAATGATCTATCTGTGCCTCCACACTGTTTGTGAGTCTTAGCGACAATGCATAATGAACTGATATATGAAAAGATGTAAAACAGTCTCAGGTACAATGCATGGAATCAAGAAACAATATAACAATCTCAGGAACAATGTATGGGTTCAAGAAACAATGTAAATGTCTTCGGGACAATGCATGGGTACAAGAAACAAAGTGAGAGTCACGGGGACAATGCATGGGTTCAAGAAACAAAGTGAGAGTCACGGGGACAATAAACAAAGTGAGAGTCACGGGGACAATGCATGGGTTCAAGAAACAAAGTGAGAGTCACGGGGACAATGCATGGGTACAAGAAACAAAGTGAGAGTCATGGGGACAATGGATGGGTACAAGAAACAAAGTGAAAGTCACGGGGAAATGCATTGGATACAAGAAACAAAGTGAGAGTCACGGGGACAATGCATGGGTACAGGAAACAAAGTGAGAGTCACAGGGAAATGCATTGGGTACAAGAAACAAAGTGAGAGTCACGGGGACAATGCATGGGTACAAGAAACAAAGTGAGAGTCACGGGGACAATGCATGGGTACAAGAAACAAAGTGAGAGTCACAGGGACAATGCATGGGTACAAGAAACAATGCAAAAGTCTTTGGGTCAATGCATGGGTACAAGAAACAATGTGAGAGTCTTTGGAACAATGCAGGGTACAAGAAACAATGTGAGAGTCTCTGGAACAATGCATGGGTACAAGAAACAATGTGAGAGTCTTTGGAACAATGCATGGGTACAAGAAACAATGTGAGAGTCTTTGGATCAAAGCATGGGTACAAGAAACAATGTGAGAGTCTTTGGAACAATGCATGGGTACAAGAAACAATGTGAGAGTCTCTGGAACAATGCATGGGTACAAGAAACAAAGTGAGAGTCACAGGGACAATGCATGGGTACAAGAAACAATGCAAAAGTCTTTGGGTCAATGCATGGGTACAAGAGACAAAGTGAGAGTCTCTGGAACAATGCATGGGTACAAGAAACAATGTGAGAGTCTTTGGAACATTGCATGGGTACAAGAAACAATGTGAGAGTCTCTGGAACAATGCATGGGTACAAGAAACAATGTGAGAGTCTTTGGAACAATGCATGGGTACAAGAAACAATGTGAGAGTCTTTGGAACAATGCATGGGTACAAGAAACAATGTGAGAGTCTCTGGAACAATGCATGGGTACAAGAAACAATGTGAGAGTCTCTGGAACAATGCATGGGTACAAGAAACAATGCAAAAGTACTAAGATCAATGCAAGGGTACAAGAAACTATGTGTGCACACAAGTGATGGAGATGGAGGTACAATTATGAGTGAACCACATATCTTTGGATGAAAAACGTGAGGTCAGAAGGCAACTGTATGGGAAGATGGCACACAGTGTGGCTGGAAAGAACAGCCCTCTGTGGGTGAACAGAGGACTTTGTGGGTGGTGAGAGAATGTATGAATTGAAGGAACAATGAGTGGGTGATGGGAATCAAGTGAGAGTGCAGCGAGCAAAGATTGAATATCTTACATATGAAAATCATTTCCTAACCTCTGAACATGAACTAAATAACTAAATTTAATGCAATACCAGCTTAATTTAAATCATCCTAACACCTTCTCAACATAAATCTTTAACACCATCTCAATATAAATTCCCATAACACCCTCCCAACATGAAACTTCTAACACCATCTCCACATACATCACCCTGACACCTTCTCAGTATGAATCCTGTAACACCATCTCAACATAAATCATGAGGTTTGAGGTTTGAGGTTTGAACAACGGATCAACATCATGGCACACGGGTAGTTACCCATAAGTGCTCTGTTCTTCTTTTAACTCAAGTCTGAGTCCGAAGAAGCTCAGCACAGTGCACAGGCTCTGTAGCACTGGCAAGGATCCTGAAATACTTTGGGTAGATTTTTAACTCCAAATTTTGCCCGGGCAGCGCTGTTAGGCTACTCTTTTAGATTTTCCAACTGCCAAGGAATTTTTTTACGTGCACAACAACGCACATGGGCGTCCAATCTCACTACCCAGAGACCAGGGGGAATTACTAGAAGTCAAAATCCACGCGAAAAAATCCCAACCCTTACCGAGGATTGAACCTGGATCCTCTAGAACTCAGGGTGGCCATAAATCATGAAACTACCCCAACCTTAAGAGAGCAGAATTACCTGTTACTGGTGTTGAAGAACATCATGCCCAGTGCCAGTGTTGCTCCTGGAGCTGTAACGTCCACATTTACCCGGTCACCTTCCTGCATACACACACACACACAAACACACAAGAAAACATGGCTCAGTCATTTTTAGAGATAATGTGGCAAAAACAAATGGCAGGCACTTTCATCTCAGGATATCAACAGTGGTGGCATAGTGGTCAGTCAGCCTATCTAGCAATCTGGTGATGCTCATTTCAATTCTCAGTGTCACATGGTTTGGCACAGACAAGCTGTGTACAGATCTCCTTCTCCTTCTTTGCGTTCACTGGCTGTAAACTCTGGCGGAAAGTTCTGGTTGTTACCCATTTCTGGACTGTAGTCCTCTTCTGATCATCAAGGAAGATTGGCTAATAAACAGCATCCTGTCTCGGAAGCTGAACTATTTTGGTCATATCAAGCACCACGACGGATTGGAAAAAATAACATGAAAGTACATTCTACAAGTAGAAATAGTATGAAGAAAGTACATGAGGCGGGAGAGCTGGCGAGAGACCGAGTTTCTTTCAGGTGGACCGTGATGAGAGCGACGTTCTGCAAAGTACCTGCTACATGATGATGATGAGTCCGCTTCTAGAGCTTGAGTGTTAAATGCAAATCCATTTTACAGATCTGGTTTATTTGTATGTATCTACGGCTTAGGTGCTGTGAAAGTGCTTCATGACTCCGTGGTGCATGGTTTGATCCCAGTTGTGTGCAATTTGGCAGCAGACTGACTTGTGGTGGTTCCAACGGTGGTACTGAGAGCCAACCTTTTAGAAAGCACTGGCAAACTAGTGAATGTAAAATTCCCTAATTAAATCACATTCAGCCAAAAACTGCTGCAACTGTTGGTTCCAAGCCTCTCTGACAGATGCATTCAAATCTGAAGGAAAAAATCTAGGTCATCTTTTACAACTTTCCTTGGTGGAAAGAGGGCAGGGGGTCTGCAGTGGATCTATCCCCCACCCCCTTTCTCCAAAACAGGGTGTGAAGACCCACATGGGAAGTGTATATGATTGCCGAAAAACCATCATCATGTGCTTTCAGTAGCCTCCTGGGGATCATGGGCACTAGTTGGGCTAACAAAGAGAAGACCCACTGCGATCTTTTCAGCGATGATCTGGCTATGAGTTCTGGTCTGCATGAGGATGTGGTACTTTGTACTCTATGTTATTATTTCTGTGACATTGTGTAACATGTGAGTGGGAGGGGTGACAGGCAGTTTTGTCTATGGACATTATTTTCATTTTCTTCAAATTCAAGAATAGGTTTTGATCTTAAATGTGCTTCTCCTTATAGTCCCTGTCATGTAACATTAGTAGTCATGTCTACCCACAACCTTCTGTCGTGTGTATTTTTCAGTCAATTCTGACACAGATGGTCTTCCATTGTCCATGTCATGTGATGTTGGTAGTCATGTCTATCCACAACCTTCTGTCTCGTGTACTTTCAATCAATTCTGACACAGATGATCTTCCATGCCATAATGTCAAGACTGTCCAGCATATTCTCTCTCTGTCTCCCTTTGCCTCTTTGCCCCTTCCAACTTCCCCACCATCACGATGTACTCCAGTTTTTTCTTCTTTCGTGCTTCAAACTATTAGGCATTCAAGCATTCACAAATCTCTCACTCCAACTACATCTACCTTGATCAGGAAACTGGGAGCTCTGTAGACCCGGTCCCTGTTTGGCCAAAGCTGTATCAAACGATGAGAACAAAGAGGAAAACGTAAATAAGTAGGACATACATGAGTTTAAAAAAACCAACTTAAGTGAACTATTCAACTAGGTTCTACTTTCCTCTAGCCCCAGAATACCTTTCAGCGCCAGTCGTATAGGTGACATATGTATATATCATATTAACTATCACAGACTTAGTTCATCCTCGCCACCTGACAGACAGATAATATGTCTGCTCACATACAGAGCTCAGAACCCATTACCATCTGCTCATTATGGAGAGCTTTGATAAATTATCTGTACACTGTATGGATAGTTTTGATAAATCATCTAGCAACCCCTACTCTGAACGCTGTATAGACAGTTCTGATGAGTGATCTAGCAACCCCTACTCTGTACAGACAGTTTTGATGAATGATCTAGCAACCCCTACTCTGTACGCTGTATGGATAGTTTTGATGAGTGATCTAGCAACCCCTACTCTGTACGCTGTATGGATAGTTTTGATGAGTGATCTAGCAACCCCTACTCTGTACGCTGTATGGATAGTTTTGATGAATGATCTAGCAACCCCTACTCTGTACGCTGTATGGATAGTTTTGATGAGTGATCTAGCAACCCCTACTCTGTACGCTGTATGGATAGTTTTGATGAGTGATCTAGCAACCCCTGATAGGTACGCTGTATGGATAGTTTTGATGAATGATCTAGCAACCCCTACTCTGTACGCTGTATGGATAGTTTTGATGAGTGATCTAGCAACCCCTGATGGGTACGCTGTATGGATAGTTTTGATGAATGATCTAGCAACCCCTACTCTGTACGCTGTATGGATAGTTTTGATGAGTGATCTAGCAACCCCTACTCTGTACGCTGTATGGATAGTTTTGATGAGTGATCTAGCAGCCCCTGATGGGTACGCTGTATAGATAGTTTTTATGAGTGATCTAGCAACCCCTGATTGGTACGCTGTATGGATAGTTTTGATGAATGATCTAGCAACCCCTACTCTGTACGCTGTATGGATAGTTTTGATGAGTGATCTAGCAACCCCTACTCTGTACGCTGTATGGATAGTTTTGATGAGTGATCTAGCAACCCCTACTATGTACGCTGTATGGATAGTTTTGATGAGTGATCTAGCAACCCCTACTATGTACGCTGTATGGATAGTTTTGATGAGTGATCTAGCAACCCCTACTCTGTATGGATAGTTTTGATGAGTGATCTAGCAACCTCTACTCTGTATGGATAGTTTTGATGAGTGATCTAGCAACCTCTACTCTGTACGCTGTATGGTGTTGAGAAGGGTCCTTTACTTTACTTACATTTACTGCATGTCTTTGCCACTTGGAAACTACTAATTTCGATGAATTATTCGAGTGACCCCCACCCTCTTTGCTGTATGGACAGCTGTGCTGAGTGATCTAGCAACAGCATTCTACACACACGCAGATACACCCACACGGCAAACGTAAAACTGAAGTACATTCTGACAGAGGATCTTCCATGCCATGATTTCAAGCTGTCCAACATCTTCTCTCTCAGTCTGCCTCTGCCTCTTCCCCCTTCAACTGAAAGGGGGTCCTACCAATCCCAAACATTACCAATTAATTACTGCCTTACCTACTACAAATATCACTAATTAACTACTGAAGCACCAATCCCAAATATCACCAATCAATTACTGTCCGGGATAGCAGCTGTGTTTATTTGCACTGGCTGTCAATTCTCTCGGACTGTTCTGTTTCGTAATCATGGACTGCTATTTTTTTGCGCATTTCCAATGCAGGAAACTATATGTGTTTTCCGCTGGAGCTGCATGTGAATGTTGTGCTGTGTCGGGGCAGGTTAATGACTGATAATTTTGGCAGCCTCAACCACGCTGCCTTTGCAATGTTTTGATCGGGGTAGCCCACTCGGGAAGACAGAATCTGGTCAGCAGGGGACTGCAACTGTCTCGAGAGCAAACTCGATAAAAGCTATCCCTAGAAATGGAATGTGTCAACTATTTTTTTTTTGGTGGGGAGGAATCGACACATACGGTTAACTCAATGGCCAATTATTGTCCTACCTACCTCCAACATCACCGATTAATTAATGTCCTGCCTACCCCCAACACTTCCATAATTAATATCCTACCAATCCAAAACATCACTATTTAATTACTGTCCTACTTACCCAAAACATCAACCACTGTCCTACTTACCCCAAACATGATGAGGCCCAGAGAGAGACCAGCTGACAAAGCATACGAGTCTCTGTCAACACAGTTTTCCATCTCAGGTCCTGGCGGTCGTCCTGAAATCAGTTACAGGCAATCCACCTTGCTCAATTACAACCATACACCGAATGTTACTTTGCATCTGCCTACATAAATACTACCACTAACAATATTCAATTTAATATCTCTGCCATAAACAAAACTGCTATTACAGCTTGTATTAACCAAAATTATATGAACATAACATAATTTATTGATAAAATACAACTGGCTGAGTGAAAGACGGGTGTTTGGAAGGGCTGAGTGAAAGACGGGTGTTTGGAAGGGCTGAGTGAAAGACGGGTGTTTGGAAGGGCTGAGTGAAAGACGGGTGTTTGGAAGGGCTGAGTGAAAGACGGGTGTTTGGAAGGGCTGAGTGAAAGACGGGTGTTTGGAAGGGCTGAGTGAAAGACGGGTGTTTGGAAGGGCTGAGTGAAAGACGGGTGTTTGGAAGGGCTGAGTGAAAGACGGGTGTTTGGAAGGGCTGAGTGAAAGACGGGTGTTTGGAAGGGCTGAGTGAAAGACGGGTGTTTGGAAGGGCTGAGTGAAAGACGGGTGTTTGGAAGGGCTGAGTGAAAGACGGGTGTTTGGAAGGGCTGAGTGAAAGACGGGTGTTTGGAAGGGCTGAGTGAAAGACGGGTGTTTGGAAGGGCTGAGTGAAAGACGGGTGTTTGGAAGGGCTGAGTGAAAGACGGGTGTTTGGAAGGGCTGAATGTAAGATGGGCCTGCATGCCAAATTTATGATTTTTTTTAAAATAAAGTTTGTTCGTTCGTTCACTTCTGCTGTGTAACTGGGGGATGCTGGAACCTGAGGGCCACATGACTAGTGCTGCTGCCACGGACTGTGCAGATCAGACCTTTACTTTTGCCCCATGTCAGAAAAAAAAAAATCGTCACAGAAGATTCGAACCCAGGCTATTCGGTCAGACGCTCCTCATATATATCTGCATCCAATCCATATAATTTATACATTAACTCCACTAATTCATTTATCTAAACACAAATTCTAACCACACACCCCATTAGTTCATATACACACCCAGAGCATATACCTGTCCTCACAATCGATCTAGCTACACGCTAAATTCATATACTGAAACAAAACAATGCAGATAACCATCATTATTGTAACCCAGGATTGCCATCACTTTCCATCTACAGACATTACAAATCCACCTATCTACAGACACAATCCATCTATGCTAACACAACAGACTTGTCTATCTATACACCTAAAATATCTATCTACCCATGCACTTAACCCAACTACATTTTCTAATCAATACTAAAACAGTTGTAATACAAGTAGTCAAAAACATGTCAATATGAACACAGAACCAATGTGATCACTGAACATCTCAAAATGAATGCAGCATGTCTCAATATGATCAGAGTAATCTCAAAATGATCATAGCACGAATCAACATAAACTCATCTAAGGCATGACATGGTTACAGGCCTTATGTGAGCACATGTACAATTTTGCAAAGCAAAATTATCATCACATGTCTGGAGAGAAAGACATGCAGTGGGGAGTGACGAGGTGACACCTCTCAGCGCCGTTACTTGGACAGATTGGCTGACTCTGCACAAATTGGTGGAATATGATTCGTGATAAGGCAGACATGGTTAAGGCCTTATGTGAGCACATGTACAATTTTGCAAAGCAAAATTATCATCACAGTCTGGAGAGAAAGATGCAGTGGGGAGTGACGAGGTGCTCTGGCCGTTACTTAACTCTCAGAGCAAAGGCAAGAAGGACGAACAATCAGACTGCTAGTGGTACCACTGGTGTTGGAACTTTGATTTTCACGTTGTCTAGTGTGTCTATGTTTATCTCTCTTCTTCTTTGCAGGAATGTCAATCAATATATGTAAATTTGCTTATCATACAATCACCTGACAAGGACATTATGCTAACTGCCACAATTACAACGCTTATTGAAACGATCTCAGACAGCATTCCTTCTATGAGTATCAATACAAGAGTCAAAACTCACCAATCTCTGACAGCATGACCTCAGCCATATGAAGATGACCTGTGCCCTGATACAGTAGCCCCACTCCCATGATGGCGGCCACCCGTGTGTTGTGTGCAATGTTCAGTTCCATGGAGGTCGGGGGTAGCAGAGCTGAGACGTGGACACTCAAAGCTTTGGTCACAGTCGGGTCCATGCTGCCTCGCCTGTGCAGATATACACTAAGATTAGTTGCATGACTCCCCATGTAAAAATCTCCCATTTCTGCCATCACTAGCATTCTTGTTACTAACTCGAATTAGCACACAACAGTCTTGATTCTTCTAATTGTTTCTTTCAACATTCACCGGCTATACACACATGTCATAACTTAACTGACTCACAGAGTATGTTGAGAAAAGTGAAGACATGTAGGCTCTGTGCAGAGTGGCAAGCACTGCTTCAGAGGTCCTGGATGGCTAGCATCCTTTGAATATTTTCTCTAGGTCATCTTAGTATGTTGGAAAATGAGAAGGCAGATATAATAGCTGGTTCTGCACCACTTAGTGGTGAACTGACGAACTGGTTCTGCACTAATTGGTGGTGAACTTCATATGACAAACTAGATGTTTTGAGGGCCCTTTGAGCGTGAGTGAACAGTGTGGAGGCATAAACAGATCATTATGAGTGGATGAGAATGGCGCTGCAGGAAGTTGCCAGGTGATCTGGCTGACGCTCAACACTCAAGGGAAAGGTGAGACGGATGTACAGTCAGACAGTTACTGGTACCATCGGAA